AGGGTGCTCAGTTCTCTAAACACCAGGCTGGTTTAGTGGGTGCTGTCGGCAGGGGCTGGAAGGTAGGGAGCACCGGGAGGGACTCGTGATCAGAGTGCAGATCCCTGAAAGAGCACAGAGCTGGACCTCAAGCCCAGATTTGTCGCTCAGCTCTGGCACTGATGACCCCGTGTGACTCTAGGTGAGTCACACGACCTCCCTGGGGCACTGTTTGCTTAATCTGAAAAGCAGTCTGTGATTCCCATCACAATGACTTGCTGGCATTTTGGTGCACACATTGTAAATATTCTATCATCCCAGGGCCTTAGGAGCCAGGGTGGAACCTGGTGGGCAGGAGGGGCTCCTCTGCCGGTTTCCTCGCCCCCCACCCCGTCCCGTCCTCTGGTTACTCCCAAGGGACAGGACAGGACAGTGAGAGGGAGGGATCAACCCAGCAGGCCTGTGTTCTGATGTCATTGCAGATGGTGGAGAGCATGAAGTACCCCTTTCGGCAGGGCATGCGGCTGGAGGTGGTGGACAAGTCCCAGGTGTCCCGGACCCGCATGGCTGTGGTGGACACAGTCATCGGGGGTCGCCTGCGGCTCCTCTACGAGGATGGCGACAGTGATGATGACTTCTGGTGCCACATGTGGAGTCCCCTGATCCACCCTGTGGGCTGGTCCAGGCGAGTCGGCCACGGCATCAAGCTGTCAGGTTAGCCGTCCCTGGCCAGCATGGGCCTGGGTCAGGGTGGGGGCACATCTCTGCATCCCACAACTAATCTGAGTAATGGGGACAGTCATGTTTACCCTGAGCATGGCAGGACTTGACCAGGTGTCCCGAGGGGTTGCGTGACTTGACCAAGGACACTCAGCCTGAAGTGTGTTGTGTGTTTTAGTTGCTCAGTCGTGTCCAACTCTTGGCAATCCCATGGACTGTAGCCCGCCAGGCTCCTCTGTCCATGGAATTCTCCAGGCAAGAACACTGGAGTGAGTTGCCATTTCCTTCTCCAGCCTGAAATGGTAAAAGTTAATTCGCAACTACAGGCTCCAGGCCACATCCTCTCCTGGCAACATAGGAGGAGTCTGGGTCCTCAGGGCTGAATAGTTCCAACAGAGAGCTCCTGGTGGAGGGGTGAGGGGCTGCTGAGCAGCCCCACATTCTGGGGGAGGTGTGGAGATGGTCGTGTTAGCAGCTTCAACTTCCTTCTCCCCCTTCCTCCCTCCACTATCTCCCTAAAAGAGAGGCGCAGCGACATGGCCCACCACCCCGCCTTCCGGAAGATCTACTGTGACGCTGTTCCTTACTTGTTCAAGAAGGTGAGGCCCAGCCCTGGGCACTTCCCCTTGGCCACAGGTCCACTCCAGACCTGAGGCCCTGGATCTCCCCTCCCCTCCCCGTTTCCTTGTCAGGCCAACAGCAGCTGAGGCCTCTTTCCCACTCGTCCCCGGGCCAGTCCAGAGATTGCCCAACTGCCCCATTCCTTTAAGGTTCGAGCTGTCTACACAGAAGGTGGCTGGTTTGAGGAGGGGATGAAACTGGAGGCCATTGACCCCCTGAATCTGGGCAACATCTGCGTGGCGACCATCTGCAAGGTGAGCCTGGGCTCCTTCCGGCCTCCAGCAGCACTTCCTGTGGGCAGGGCGCTGGCAGAGCGCCCCCTACTGGCTGCTCCTGAGCGGCCTGGTTTTTTGCACACATAGACTTAGCTCCTGGCTCGGAATCTGCTTTCTCGTCAGGGGTCAGAGGCTTGCCAGCCCTATGGGCTGGTCCAGGCCTGTCGGCCACGGCATCAAGCTATCAGGTTAGCAGAGTCCCTGGCCAGCCACCTATGGGTGCTACTGAACACCTGGCCTGAGCCTGGTCCTGGGTCAGCTGTAGGCCTTCCCGCCACCACCTGCTGTCTCCTTTGGGGGCTAGTCTTGTCACGCCACAGCCGGGCTGGCGTTGCCGCAGACCTCGGTTACTGCTGCAGCCTGAGGAGCCAGCAACCACCCCTCAGCCCTCCTGGGGACACGATGATTCGTCCATCTAGCAAATCTCCAGGCTGGGCCCCCAAGTTCACCCTGAGAACACAGTGACAAAAGGACAGACAGTTCCTGCTGGCACAGCATGTGGTGTCCATTGAGGGGGTCAGGAAGATCCCCTAGGAGAGGAAATAGCAACCCACTCCAGTATTCTTGCCTGGAGGGGCTTGTCGGGCTGCAGTCCATGCGGTTGCAGAGTCTGACATGACTGACCACACGTGGAAGCTAGATGATTTTACCATTACACGGGTTACATGAGTGCTGAGTGCTCTGCAAAGCAGCTCCATCCTCATATCCCTATCCTGTCACCTCACCCTGGGGTGGGGGTGCAGTTTAGAATCCCAGGTTCTGTCTGTTTCCCTCTCTGCCACCACTAGGTACTCCTAGATGGTTACCTGATGATCTGTGTGGACGGGGGGCCCTCCACAGATGGCTCTGACTGGTTCTGTTACCATGCTTCCTCCCACGCCATCTTCCCAGCCAACTTCTGCCAGAAGAATGACATTGAGCTCACACCCCCGAAAGGTAAGACTGGCATACAGTCAGAGGGAGCAGGGTTGAGGCCACAGGCCAAGCCAGACTCCGGGAGCTTGAAGTCTGAGTGGACTGGAGAGGTGACGCACTCTGCAAGGCCACCACTAGCCCTTGGTCTGGGCTGGCTGGGCCCCATGGCCCCATGTGGCTTGGTGAGCAGAGCTCCCACCTGTCCCTCTGGGCAGTGAGCACCCTGTACTGCAGGACCGTGGGCCTAGAGCAGGTGCCAGCCTGGGGAGGAGGGAAGAATGTTGCTGGGGAGACTGTGGGCTGAGTCCTGATGGAGCTGCAGGAGCCCCTTTGGCTCTGTAGGGGGCTTTCCAGGACTCCCCCTCACCTCCCTCCCTCCTCATCTCCGCGTTCCACTCCAGGGTACGAGGCTCACACTTTCAGCTGGGAGGTCTACTTGGAGAAGACTAAGGCGAAGGCAGCTCCATCAAGACTCTTCAACATGGTGAGGAGACCAACCCTGCCCACCATCACCCGAGGTGGCGATTCCAGCCCCTTCTCTTCTCGAGTCCCTGCTGCTAAGATCAGTTGTTTCAGGGAGAAGTGCCAAACTCTGATGCGGATGCGTGCTGAACAGTCAGCCAGTCCCTCTCCCAGAGGGGCTGGCACCTGGGATCACAGTGCAGAGTGGTTCCTGGTCTGAGGACCACCCCCCCAAACCCCTGCAGGCAGGCTCGGACCCGCTCCCACACCCAGGGCTGCCCCGCCAGGGTGGGGACCTAGCTGATTTGCTCGGCCTTGATGCCCATTCCAGGACTGCCCCAACCATGGCTTCAAGGTGGGCATGAAGCTGGAGGCCGTGGACCTGATGGAGCCCCGGCTCATCTGTGTGGCCACTGTGAAGCGGGTGGTGCACCGACTCCTTAGCATCCACTTCGATGGCTGGGATAGCGAGTACGACCAGTGGGTGGACTGCGAGTCCCCGGACATCTACCCCGTCGGCTGGTGTGAGCTCACCGGCTACCAGCTCCAGCCACCTGTGGCTACAGGTCTGGGCTCTCCTGGGCCTGAAGGGCTCTTGACTTTCTTTTTCCTTCCTGCCACTCTCCGCCCCACCTCCCCCACCACACACCCACCTTTGGCCCTCTGGCGTGAGATCGAGCATCTCCTGGACCACTTCCTGGGAGAGAGTGGCCCTGGTCTCCCCCTTCTGCTCCTGACTTCTCTGTCTCCCTCTCCCTCTGGCCTGCAGAACTCCTTCTTTGACCTTGCCCACTCTGTCATATGCTCGTGCCCTTGTGCACCAGGTAAATCACCCAGGCCCCTCTGAGCACCCTGGTGATGTGGGTGGGCAGAAGGGACAGCTGTCATCCAGTCCCTCCCCACAGCCCCTCCCATTCTCACGGCCCAGCTCTGGCTTTCCTTCAGGGGCGTCCCCTGTGTAAGGGAGGCCGGTGAGGGGTGGGCAGGGATCTTGGGACGTGCTCTTTTCACTTCATGTCTGTGTCTTTCAACAACAGAGCCCACCACGCCTCTGAAAGCCAAAGAGGCCACAAAGAAGAAAAAGAAACAGTTTGGGAAGAAACGTAAGTGATACTCTAAAGCTGCCCAGCTGGGGTGGGACCTGGGATCAGCTGAGCCTGTGTACCTGGGCGGGGGGCCACTACCCAGATCAGTCACACTCTTCATGGCCCCACCTCTCCTTTGCCCCTTGCCCCATGAGCCTATCCATCACCCTGTGTCTTAGGGACCCGGATCACAATTAGGGAGTCTTCTGGTCTCTGGCAATGGTCAGGATGCTGAGGAAAAGAAACAAGAGGCTGTATGGGTTGGAGCAGGGGTCGCGGGTGGCCTGGTCTCTGAGGCCTTGTGCAGTTGCGGTGTATGAGAGTAAAAGATTTAAGAGCAAACAGACGGAAGTCATTCTCTCATGACCCCCAGGGGGAGGGAGCAAGGGTGACCCCCGAGCATAGGGACCTCTCACAGGCCGACCCAACCTCAGCAGACCCCAGGCTGAGCTGCAGTGAGCTGGGCTCCCCGACGTGGTCTCCGCAGAAGAGAGGATGTCCTGAAAGGGAACAGAGAGGAAACAGACACGGTCCCTGGGCAGGGTTAAGATCCTGTGAGGGTGTGGCATGGATCAAGTGACAGGACCCTGTGCCGTTGAGAATCAGGGCTGGGAAAATCACACTGTAGACGTGAAGAAAGTGAGGAGCAGAAACAGGAAGCTTAACCACCATGGTGGGGTGGGGGCACTAATCCGTTACTGGGGAGAAGCTCTGAGCCTTGGGCACACAGCCCTGAGGGGTGAGGTCAGAGTTTGGGCCTTGGTCCTCCCCGGCTGATACCTTCCCCTCTGCTGGGCTGCCGGACCACTGTTTCATGTGGATACAGCCCTCGCCTGGATTGAATTCTGTTTTTATTCCAAGGAAAAAGAATACCACCGGCCAAGACGCGGCCCCTCAGACAGGGGTCCAAGAAGGCCCTGCTGGAGGAGGACCTGCAGGCGGCGGCGAAGGTGCCATCGGAGCCCACTCCTGATGAGAGTGAGAGCTTCCCGCACAAGGCTGGGGCCGGTGGGCGGCTCCATGCTTAGAGGCCGGTCCTCTCCTTCCCCACCTGGGCACAGAAGAGCAGAGTCAGGCTTGAAGGGCATTTTCTGGGCACCGAGTAGCCTTTCTCAGACCACTGGGCCCAGAGGGCTTCCCAGACACCCGCCCCCAGCTCTGAATGGAGCCGAGCACTGGCCTGGCCCTCCCCACCCCAACCCCAGCCCATGCACTTAGCAGGGTGGGCTGCCTGCCAGGCTGGTGGGACAGGGCCCTAGGCCTTGGCTACTGCCTGCCCCACAGAGGGGAAGGGGCTCTCCCTGCCACACCCCAAGGGCCCCTGTCTGTAGGAAGCCCGGTTCCTTCTCCAGATCTTGAGCTCCATGCATCTCTCCTTCTTGCCCTGCACCTCTCTTCCTCTTCAGTCATCACTGTGCGTGTGAAGGAAGAGCACTTGGACGTGGCCATGGCCGACAAGACCCCGAGTCCGGAGCTGCCTGTCCCGGTCGAGAACATCAAACAGGAGATGGATGACTGAGCCTTCCTCGTTGCCAGCCAGAAGCCAGCCTAGGGCGCCTCTCTCGCCACCAGGCCAACCTACTTTACTTTGGAGACTGAGCCTTTTTGCATAAATTTTGCCTGGTACTGTGGGGGCCAGGCACCCAAGGATCAGCCAGGGTCGCCTCTGGCCTCCTCTCCAGCAAGGCCATGAGACGGGGGCCACCTGTGAGCAGCTCCCTCTCCAGCGAGAGCTCCTGAAGCTCTTCCTCACTCGTCCCCTCCACTCCCCCACACTGCTCCATTGGCGGGGGGGGGCTACACATGGCAGACAAGTTGGCTAATGGTTAGGCCTGCGCAGATCTCGAGGTGGGGACAGTAGTCACCTGACAGACGTGAGTGGTGTCAGGGGTACAGCCTCTGCCCCAGACACCATGCGGAATGGCCCCTGCTGCCTGGGTTGGGGCTCTGCTCTTCCTGGCACCCCAAGGAGGTTGGGGAGCCCTGTACCGGCGCCCAGCTCTGGCAGCAGCTGAGCAGCAGTGACCATCACGTAGGTCCCAGTGACTTGTGAGGTGGCCTTGATCTGTTTTTCCTTGGCATGAGTACTGATTGCATTTCCAAGAGGAGCAGAGGCAAGGTCTGCCCCCTAGGAAAGGGAGCTTGCCAGGGCCTCAGGTGGGGGAGACCACACCAGTCCCTATGCCATGGGAAGGGGGGTGGGTCTGGGTGTGTGCACACGCGTGCAAGCATCCCCTGAGAGAGAAGGTGCCACCATTGTTGAACTTGACCCACTCTGGAGCCCAGCTGGACTAGGACCTGTCCTTTTCTTTCTCCCTTCCTCTGTTAACCAGGAACAGGTCTGGCCTTGCCAGAAAGTCTTGGGGCCTCGACACGGGATGTCCGCCCTGCTGGCTGACGTGGCCCTGAAGGAGCTCCTGGAGGCAGGGACATGCTTCTTGGTCCTTTCCCTCACTGTGCGTGTCCTTAACTCCATAATAGATTTTGATTCTGCTGCTCCTCTGAAAGTACATTCTAGAAGTTCACCTAGTGTCTGCCCACATTTCAGCTGCTTCTGTTCCGCAGTTAAGTCTCCTTTGAAGCTGTCTTCTCCCTCTGACCCACCGTCTCTTCAGGAGACCTGGGACCTAAGTGGTAACAGGCTGCTGTCCTCAGCCCCTCTTGCCCTCCACCACGTGTTTGAGTAGAGACAGCATGGCTGGGTGTGTCCCTGTGTTACCCTGTAATAGCTGCCACAGTCCGTGCCTGCCAGATGGGATGCTGACCTTGGGTGTGTAGAGGACCCTACTGTTAGATGTCATCCCGGAGATGGGCGACCAGCCCAAGGGGAGCCAATTTCAGTTCAGAAAGAACCAGATCTTCTGTCCTTTCCTAAAGGCACTGTGCAGGCTCAGGTGGAATAGAAACGAGGCCTAGGAAGCCCCCTCTTGCAGCCTGAACTCCCCTAGATGTGACAGGGGCCGTGCCTCCCCTCACCCCACCTCATGGTGATGAGTGGGTCAGTGGAGGAAGGTGGCTGACAGTAGCGTGCAGTTCCACAGCCTGCTCGCATGGCCTGCCTTTGTTGAGGGTGATTGCCCAGCTGAGAAGAATCATTGTCCCCTCTGCTCTTCCCTTTAAAGGATCAAGTTCTGACTGAAGAGCTTCTGGGGTGATGGGACTTGTTTGACCTTCAGTTTTGCTTCTTCCTGAGTGAAGAAGTTGATGCCCACAGTGCGTGAGCACAGCACGTAGGGCTAGGGGACAAGTTTAGCCGCCGATCCAGCCCCAGATGGGCTTCCCACACTTAAATCCTCTGAGATGATTAAATCCCTTTCTTGCTGCAGTCAGTCCGTGTTCCTTCTGTTCTGAGACGCCACCCCACCAGGTCGGCTACAGAGGCGGGGAGAGTTCACCCATGAAGAGTGCAAGACACGTCTCCACAGCAGACACCGTGGTACTTGTCTCTGCCACTCCCCTCCAGGACCCCGGGCTCCCCAGAGGCCCAGCCCATCTTCACGCCCCTCGTGACCAGCATGAAGGTGCCCTCAGCGAGCATGTGACCAAGTGTACACACATCCCTGGGCCCTGGAGGTTAGTCAGGCACAGATGGACGTGTTGACCTCCAGGACGTTTTAACTCAAAGCACAGAATGAACCTTGGCCCTCCACTGCCCTTGCCATTGGATGGGACGAAAAATCTTCAAGTTCCACAGCAGTGGTGGGGGTCGTGGAGGGAGGCGGAAACACCTGAAGGCTGGAAGATGTCCTGAGGAACAGAAGCCTCTCCACTCCTTGCCCCACTGCCCGACGGCCTGCAGTGAGCACCTCTCTGGGGCAAACACTGGTGGAACCCCCTGCACTTTCCTTTACTGTCACCCCATTGGCCCCTTGGCTGCTTGAGGGATGGGGAAGCAAGGGAATTGGCGTTTGTGACAGCCTCATGCCAGACTAGTTTACAAGTGTTCACACCACTTACTTCATCCTTGATCCTGTGAGGACATGGTGACTTTATTTTACATGTAAGAGAAAGAAGGCTCATTAAAGTTCAGTAACTTGGTGGCCTAAGTTGACAAGAAATGGCAACAGGGGGATTAAACCAGCTTGTCTTGGCCAGGTCACAAGACTCGGTGGCTTCAATCTGGTGAGCAACCCAACGCAGAACATTCTGCCAGGGATCAGGGCCTGTGTCCTTCAAGGCCTTTGTATTCCTGGGAGGAAGCAGCTACTTTAAATAGAAGTAGAAATAAATCCTAGGGCTTCCCTGATGACTTAGTAGTAAAGAATCTGCCTGCCAGTGCAGGAGATGCTGGCTTGATCCCTGGTCTAGGGAGATCCCACATGCTGCAGGCCAACTACTGAGCCTGTGCTCTAGAACCCAGGAGCTGCAACCCAGCCCACGGGCAGCTAACTGCTGAAGCCCAAGAGCATCCCTCTGACCCACCGTCTCTTCAGGAGACCTGGGACCTAAGTGGTAACAGGCTGCTGTCCTCAGCCCCTCTTGCCCTCCACCACGTGTTTGAGTAGAGACAGCATGGCTGGGTGTGTCCCTGTGTTACCCTGTAATAGCTGCCACAGTCCGTGCCTGCCAGATGGGATGCTGACCTTGGGTGTGTAGAGGACCCTACTGTTAGATGTCATCCCGGAGATGGGCGACCAGCCCAAGGGGAGCCAATTTCAGTTCAGAAAGAACCAGATCTTCTGTCCTTTCCTAAAGGCACTGTGCAGGCTCAGGTGGAATAGAAACGAGGCCTAGGAAGCCCCCTCTTGCAGCCTGAACTCCCCTAGATGTGACAGGGGCCGTGCCTCCCCTCACCCCACCTCATGGTGATGAGTGGGTCAGTGGAGGAAGGTGGCTGACAGTAGCGTGCAGTTCCACAGCCTGCTCGCATGGCCTGCCTTTGTTGAGGGTGATTGCCCAGCTGAGAAGAATCATTGTCCCCTCTGCTCTTCCCTTTAAAGGATCAAGTTCTGACTGAAGAGCTTCTGGGGTGATGGGACTTGTTTGACCTTCAGTTTTGCTTCTTCCTGAGTGAAGAAGTTGATGCCCACAGTGCGTGAGCACAGCACGTAGGGCTAGGGGACAAGTTTAGCTGCCGATCCAGCCCCAGATGGGCTTCCCACACTTAAATCCTCTGAGATGATTAAATCCCTTTCTTGCTGCAGTCAGTCCGTGTTCCTTCTGTTCTGAGACGCCACCCCACCAGGTCGGCTACAGAGGCGGGGAGAGTTCACCCATGAAGAGTGCAAGACACGTCTCCACAGCAGACACCGTGGTACTTGTCTCTGCCACTCCCCTCCAGGACCCCGGGCTCCCCAGAGGCCCAGCCCATCTTCACGCCCCTCGTGACCAGCATGAAGGTGCCCTCAGCGAGCATGTGACCAAGTGTACACACATCCCTGGGCCCTGGAGGTTAGTCAGGCACAGATGGACGTGTTGACCTCCAGGACGTTTTAACTCAAAGCACAGAATGAACCTTGGCCCTCCACTGCCCTTGCCATTGGATGGGACGAAAAATCTTCAAGTTCCACAGCAGTGGTGGGGGTCGTGGAGGGAGGCGGAAACACCTGAAGGCTGGAAGATGTCCTGAGGAACAGAAGCCTCTCCACTCCTTGCCCCACTGCCCGACGGCCTGCAGTGAGCACCTCTCTGGGGCAAACACTGGTGGAACCCCCTGCACTTTCCTTTACTGTCACCCCATTGGCCCCTTGGCTGCTTGAGGGATGAGGAAGCAAGGGAATTGGCGTTTGTGACAGCCTCATGCCAGACTAGTTTACAAGTGTTCACACCACTTACTTCATCCTTGATCCTGTGAGGACATGGTGACTTTATTTTACATGTAAGAGAAAGAAGGCTCATTAAAGTTCAGTAACTTGGTGGCCTAAGTTGACAAGAAATGGCAACAGGGGGATTAAACCAGCTTGTCTTGGCCAGGTCACAAGACTCGGTGGCTTCAATCTGGTGAGCAACCCAACGCAGAACATTCTGCCAGGGATCAGGGCCTGTGTCCTTCAAGGCCTTTGTATTCCTGGGAGGAAGCAGCTACTTTAAATAGAAGTAGAAATAAATCCTAGGGCTTCCCTGATGACTTAGTAGTAAAGAATCTGCCTGCCAGTGCAGGAGATGCTGGCTTGATCCCTGGTCTAGGGAGATCCCACATGCTGCAGGCCAACTACTGAGCCTGTGCTCTAGAACCCAGGAGCTGCAACCCAGCCCACGGGCAGCTAACTGCTGAAGCCCAAGAGCCGCCACAAGAGAAGCCTGCACACCTCAAGAAGAGGAGCCCCCATTTGCTGCAATTCGAGAAAAACCTGTGCAGCCAAGAAGACCCAGCACAGCCAAAATAAAAGAAACCCCTGGTGTGATCACTCACCTAGAGCCAGACATTGTGGAATGTGAAGTCAAGTGGGCCTTAGAAAGCATCACTATGAACAAAGCTAGTGGAGGTGATGAAAATCCAGTTGAGCTATTTTAAATCCTAAAAGATGATGCTGTGAAAGTGCTGCACTCAATATGCCATCAAATTTGGAAAACTCAGCAGTGGCCACAGGACTGGAAAAGGTGTTTTCATTCCAGTCCCAAAGAAAGACAATGCCAAAGATGCTTAAACTATCACACAATTGCACTCATCTCACACGCAAGTAAAGTAATGCTCAAAATTCTCCAAGCCAGGCTTCAATAGTATGTGAACGGTGAACTTCCAGATGTTCAAGCTGGTTTTAGAAAAGGCAGAGGAAACAGAGATCAAATTGGATCACTGAAAAAGTGACAGTTCCAGAAAAACATCTAGTGCTTTATTGAGTATGCCAAAGCCTTTGTGTGGATCACAACAAACTGGAAAATTTCTTAAAGAGATGGGAATACCAGATCACCTGACCTGCCTCCTGAGAAATCTGTATGCAGGTCAGGAAGCAACAGTTAGAACTGGACATGGAACAACAGACTGGTTCTAAATAGGGAAAGGAGTATGTCAAAGCTGTATATTGTCACCCTGCTTATTTAACTTCTATGCAGAGGACATCATGAGAAACGCTGGGCTGGATGAACCACATGCTGGAATCAAGATTGCTGGTAAAAATATCAATAACCTCAGACATGCAGATGATACCACCCTTATGGCAGAAAGCAAAGAACTAAAGAGCCTTTTGATGAAAGTGAAAGAGGAGAGTGAAAAAGTTGGCTTAAAACTCAACATTCAGAAAACTAAGATCATGGCATCTCGTCCCATCACTTCATGGCAAATAGATGGNCTCAACATTCAGAAAACTAAGATCATGGCATCTGGTCCCATCACTTCATGGCAAATAGATGGGGAAACAGTGGCAGACTCTATTTTTGGGGGGGCTCCAAAATCACTGCAGATGGTGACTGCATCCATGAAATTTAAAAGATGCTTGCTCCTTGAAAGAAAAATTATGACCAACCTAGATAGCATACAGTAGATAGTAGAGACATTACTTTGCCGACAAAGGTCCAGATATCTAGTCAAAGCTTTGGTTTTTCCAGTAGTCATGTATGGATGACAGTTGGACCATAAAGAAAGTTGAGCGCCAAAGAATTGATGCTTTTGAACTGTGGTGTTGGAGAAGACTCTGAGAGTCCCTTGGATAGCAAGGAGATCCAACCAGTCCATCCTAAAGGAAATCAATCCTGAATATTCATTGGAAGAACTGATGCTGAAGCTGAAACTCCAATACTTTGGCCACCTGATGCGAAGAACTGACTCATTTGAAAAGACCCTGATGCTGTGAATGATTGAAGGCGGGAGGAGAAGGGGACGACATAGGATGAGATGATTGGATGGCATTACCAACTCAAGGGACATGAGTTCGAGCAAACTCCAGGAGTTGGTGATGGACAGGGAGGCCTGGAATGCTGCAGCCCATGGGGTCACAGAAAGTCAGACTCAACTGAGCGACTGAGCTGAACTAAATTATGATCCCAATTACTTTAAAAAAAAAAAAAAAAGGAATTCAACTATATGTTTTGTCAAATGTAATGTCAAGGGGGTGATGGAGTCTGACCCGTGGTGCCAACAACACATCTGTACCCTTGCTCTTCCCACCCCAGCAACAAGTGAGACCCCCGAGATCGGGTGGGAAAAGGCTGAATCGACAGCAAGCCAGCAGTGACCGTCACTGTGGGATTCTCCTGGACACACATCGTCCCGGGAGGCTGCAGCTTAATCAGGCCACTGTCCCAGGGGACAAAACGGCGTGTGGTCATTTCTTCACAAGCCCCATCTGAGCTTAGCCCAGAGCTGGAGAGGGTGGACATCACTCTCAGATGCCACCAGAAATACATCTGGTCCCTGCCCAGATCTACAACCTCATGAAACTGAGACCAAGAGAAAGACCCTTACCACCGTAAGGGCCTTAAAACCTGACCCACCCGAGGCCTCATCGCCCCCACCCCTCGGCCTACCTCGTTCACTCTCTGCCATCTTCCCTTCATGGGGGTCCCCCGGGCGCCAGGCCTGGGGGCCGGGGTCCACTTGGCCTTCCTGGCAGCCCGGCCCCGGCAGGCTTCAAAGACAGCAGCTGCGGCCTTCACCCTCTGGCCACGGGCACTGGGGGGGGTGGCACAGGTGGCCCCCACGCGCAGGTTCAGACCCGCCAGCCACCTGAGAAGAAATGGGGCGGGGAGCCCCCGTGCCGAACTTCCCTGAGGACAGCAAGGAGGTCCTTGGGTTTGGGCACAGTGGGGCCGAGTGGATGAGAGTGGACACACCAGTTAAGTGATCCTGAGCAAGTCAAACCTCAATCCCCTCCCTGTAAAAGGGGGCCGGTAATAAACAGTGGTGGAGGACTGGTGAGCCAAAGCGATGGAGACAAACTCCTGAATTTAACGTCATCTTACAGTCACCACCAGGAGGTGGACACAGTCACCATCATCCCCTTTACAGATGACTTAACAGCACAGAGAGCCCACGTGGCTCAAGAGGAGACAATCACAGAGGCGGCTTTGAGCCCTGGTCTCTGGGCTCCAGGGCCCTTGCTGCTTTCTTGGGCAATGAGGTACAGTGCTCTCACATGCTGACTAGGTCCACTCGGCTGGGCAGATTCCACCCCCACTTTATGAATGAGGGAACAGAGGCTCAGGGAAACTCACCCCAAGCCCTGTGGGGTAGCTCCCCAGGGAGGGTAGCTGGCCCTGGCAGGATCCTCCCCCACCATAGGTGCTCAAATGGCACCAACCTGGTGTCCCCAGGGAGACGTGGGGGCTTGAGAGCAGCTGGCCCCAGCTGGGGGGTTCAGGTGGGGGTGCTCACCTGTGAAGTGGGAGCAGCTGGCAGTCACAGCGGAAGGGGTTGCCGCTGAGGTCAATGAGCTCCAGCTCGCTGAGACCGGGCAGGGCAGGCAGTGTCTGCAGCTGGTTCTTCTGTAGGTGTAGGCTCCGGAGCCGGGGCCCCAGGCCCGAGAAGGCTCCAGGAGAAATCTGCAGGAAGGCGCCAGGCCCTGGTGTGAGCTCCTGCCGGCCCGTCCCAGCCCCAGGCCTGGGGAGTGGAGAGCCCAAGGCGGGGGCAGGAAGGGCAGTGCTGGTGGAAGACCCAGGCTGGTCCAAGGCCAAAGCACTTGCCCTCTACAAGTCACCCAGACCCCCAGTTCACGGTTCTTTCTGCTAGACCCTATCCCCCACACAATAACAAAAGCCCTGCCCACAAAGCGTGTAACAGCAGGTAATCCCACAGACCCTGGGGAGCTCCCGCCTCCAGGCCTCAGCAGCGTCCTCCCTGCCTCCATGTGGCACTGTGTTCCGGCCTGCTCCGTGGCCCACGCCTGAGTTCCGGGGGGAAGGCGCAGTGCCCAGCTCATCTCAGGGCCCTCACGCCCAGCCTCGGGCCCAGCGAGGCAGGGCAGCGGTGTGGGCTGAGAACACAAGCTGCCTCCCCTTGCCCCTTCTCCCCTGCGCCCACCTGCTCCAGGCCACTGCTGTTCAGAAAGAGGTGCTGCAGCGAACGGCCCACGGGCCGGAAGGCGCCATCTCGTAGGGCCCCGAGCGGGTTCCCCGAGAGCTGCAGCTCCAGAAGGGCTGGCAGCCCCTCCAGGGCCTCAGAGGGCACCTCGTCCAGCTGGTTCCTGTCCAGGTGCAGCTTCTCCAGCTCCCGAGCAGGGGCCAGCGCCCCAGGGGACACTCGGGCGAGGCGGTTCCCACTCAGGTAGAGCCAGCGCAAGGCCCGCCCGCCTTCCAGGTCACCGGGCGCCAGGTGGTCCAGGGCGTTGTCCTGCAGGTGCAGGGAGAAGAGGCTGGGCAGGGCGAGCAAGGCAGCCCCTGGCACCCGCACGAAGCGGTTCCGCTCCAGGTACAGGTAGCCCAGGCGGGGGGCCCCCTCGAGGGCGGCAGCGCTGAGGCCAGAAAGCCGGTTGTCCGACAGGTAGAGGTAGAGAAGGCTGTCCAGCCCCGCCAGGGCGCCCGCCTCCAGCTCCGTGAGGCCGCAGTGCTGCAGGTGCAGCGACACGAGGCGGCCCAGGCCCGGGAAGGCCGCTCGGGGCACCACGGGGAAGCGGTTCCGCCTGAGGTCCAGAAGCTGGGTGTCGTTGGGGAAGCCGCGGGGCACGGCCTGCAGGCCCCGGCCCTCACAGCTGCTGTGCCGCGATTCGGGGACGCACACGCAGGTGCGCGGGCAGGGCCCGGCCGCCCCGGCCTCCTCCCCGACCAGCCACTCCAGCAGCGGCCGGGCCCGGCAGCCGCACCACAGCGGGTTCCCCTGCAGCCGCAGCCGGCGCAGCTGTCCCGGGCCCTGCAGCGGCGGCAGGGCGTCCAGCTGGTTCCCGCGGAGGTCCAGCGTGTGCAGGCGGGGGCAGAGGGCGAAGGCCCGGGCATCCAGGGCCTGCAGGGCCCCATGGTCCAGCCTCAGCTCCCGCAGGCCGGGGAGCGCCAGCCCGTCCTCCTCCCCCGCGTAGGTGAAGGGGTTGTGGCCCAGCTCGAGGCGGACCAGGCCACGGGCCTGGGACAAGGCCATCCCGGGCAGGGCCTGCAGCTCGTTGTGGTGCAGGCTGAGCCGGCGCAGGGCCGGCAGGCCGGCCAGGGCCTCTGGGGCCAGCACGCTGAGCGCGTTGTGCGACAGCTGCAGCCAGCGGGCGCGCACCAGCCCCTGGAACGCCATGGCGGGCAGGTAGACCAGGGCGTTGTGGGCCAGGTTCAGCGTGGTCACCGCGCCCAGCGCCCCGAACGTCCCTGGCCGCAGCTCCTCCAGCAGGTTCCCCGCCAGCTCCAGCCGCTGCAGCGAGCCCAGCCCGTCCAGCGCCTCCTGGGGCAGCGCGCTCAGGCGGTTGGAGGCCAGGTTGAGGAGGAGCAGGCGGCCCAGGCCTCGGAAGGCCCCTTCGGCCACCAGCTCCACCTGGCAGTACCGCAGGTCCAGATGTGTCAGGTAAGGCAGGTCCCGGAAGGCAGCCGGGGGGATCTCCTTCAGCATGTTGCCCTGGAGCTCCAGACGCTGGGTCAGCTGAGCCGGGAGAGGAGGGCGAGGCTGAGGGGCACCCGGACCACAGCCTGTGCCCCTTGCTAACGCTGGCATGTGCTCTTCCGTCACCTGGAACAGTCTCCCCCTGCCTTCTCTTCATCCTGCTCCCTGACACCTCCTCCAGGAAGCCTTCCTCCTCAGCCCCCCGGGTATCCCCGGCTCTGGCACTTTCCACGTTGAACTGTCACTGCCCCCTCTGCTTTCACTCTCCTATCCAGCTCTTGACTCCACGGGCAGAGACCATAACTTATCCCAGTAGATCCCTAGTTCACTGCCCCAGGGCCTGTAATTAACTCAGTGTCTCTTATAGGTCACTTAACTTGTTCCAGTCACTTAGGATTTTAAATAGATCATCTCCCTGTAGTTGGCTGTTATCATTCCCATTTTACAGATGTGAAGACGGAGGCTCAGGGAGGCAAAGTGAGTTGCCGGAGCCTCCCCCAGCCAGGTAGTGGCAGATCCTCCGGTGCTAGCCCAGGCTCCTCCTGCTGTCCTCCCCCACCCCACCTTGCCCTGCTGACCTCAGGGATGGCGGTCGGCACCTCGGTGAGGTTCTGGTGCCGGCAGGCGACATGCCTCCTGGGATTGTCGCAGACGCAGGCCTGCGGACAGCGCTGGGCCACCGCACACCGGTTTGGCCCCAGTGGCAGCAGCAGTGGAAGCAACAGCACCAGGGAGACACTCTGGGGCCTGGCAGAGAGAAGGGCCAATTGTTTGCAGAACAAGAGACCCACACTGTCCGCTTCCCTGAACACTGCTTCTTGTCCCAGAGCCCCTCAGACATTTTCCTCCTCTGGTGCTGGGGAGCTGTCATTACCCTGAGCCTCCAACCCCTCCATTGAGCTGGGATTCCGTGTTTTACACCAGAGGCAACAGGATCAGACCGAGGGACGACCTGGCGAGTCTCTGTGACTGTCTGCCCAGTGCCTTGGTGAGGCTTTGCCCAGTCCAGAGGAGTGGACAGGCTGTACAGAGGCTCCTGGGTCCAGCGGAGGCCTGTCCTCCCAGGGTGAGGTCGGCGATGGAGAGTCAGCCGTTCCTCAGACTGATGTGGCATCGGCATTCTGGTGCTAGGGAGCATGACACCCACCTTGAGAAGACGGCCCGGCAGCCAGAGGGGCAGACCCAGGCCTGGCCCGAGTGAGACTAGACTTTGGGGGACCAGGTGTCATGGGGTCCAAGAGCCTCAAGGAGCCTTAGTGGCTGGCCAGTGCCACTCTGACAGGCAGGCTGGTAGGAGCTCCGACTTCTCTCCTGTTTATTCCTCTGCTGTCCTTTCTTCATCTTAGCGCCACCCAGCTGGCCTGGCCTGGGGGAAACTGAGGGTATGGCCTTGGGGCTGTGCTTTGGGCCAGGTCTGTCCACTTACCCGTCTGTCCACCCACCATGCGTCCACTGCCCAGCAAGACCCCTTCACCTCCCAACTGCTACCTGCCTCCCCACGGGGCCCACCGTGCCACGGTGGCACTCCTTGCTCCCCCAGCCCTCTGCTCACCACCAACACCCAGAGGGAACTTTCCTAAATACAGGTGGGCCCTGACACCCCAGCTGAAAACCCTCCAGCATCTCACTGCCTATGCCGGTAAGTCCCGAGTCCTGACTCCCTGACAGGTACCCACCCGCTGGAGCCTTCAGCGTTCCCGTTGGCTGCCCTACCGTAAGTACGCAGAGCAGCTCCCTCCTGTCTGCCTGCCACGCGAACCTCACCAGCTCTTCCTGTGTCTGTCCTCAGCTCTGTGAGCAGCCCTTCCTGGCCCCTGGGCTGGCTCCTACCCTGAGCCACCCCATTTCTGCTCACTGACTTGTCACTGTCTATTTTGCAGTCTCCTTGGAGTCCCAGGGTCGAGCCTGGCCTTGGGGCTGGTGGCATCCTCTAGAGTCTGTAATGAGGTTGAGTCTCAGGGCAGGCTGCTGTGGGGTGGGGGGTGCATGGGGACAGATCCCTGAAGGTCAAGCATCCAGGCCTTGGAGGGCTGCCAAGCTCTCAGCCGGGCTCCTGGAGGACTAGCCCAGGGGAGCTCCTGGGAGCAGCTGCACCCGCCATCTTACACAAAATCTTGAGACCCTCGGAAAATCTCGGTCCAGGAAGATCCCAGGGCCCCTGCCCCCCAGCCCTGAGAGGCCCAGGGGCTTGCCTGCAGCCATGCAGCTTCTCTGACCCCCTCCCCCGGCAACCCCGGGGCCCCAGTACTCACCCCGTCATGCCGATCGCACGGCCAGTCTGGCCTGGAGGCGCAACACAGAGAAAGGCTGGCGACGGTCCCCCGCCTGGACGCCGGGGGAGCCCCCCCTCCCGGCCTGCAGACCTGGCAGTGGGGGCAGAGCTGAATGGGAGGCTTTGTGAGGTGAGGGAGAAATGGGCATGGCGGGAGCAGCGGCTGGAGTTACAGGGCCTCAGACCGAGTCCCTGGGCCAGCCCAGCCAGGAGGGGCCTCGAGGGGCCGGCCAGCCCGTGGGTCCCAGGCCGGACTTCCTCCTGCTGTGGGTCCTTGGGCAGGGCTGCGCCTCCTGCTGTTAACCTGTTCCCACAGTAACCAGCTCTCAGGGCTGCGCCTGGCACACAGCAGGGACTCAGGAACAGATAACGGCCTTGTTTGTGCTTACATCTGCATATATTGTTCAACACTTGACACAAAGTATTCTGCAAATTTGTTCTTTTTCCACTCAACATCATGGAACTAAGCTGATTAGTTAGTATTGGATAGTATTTCATTGTATAAATGTATCGACTTATCCATTAGATGTTATGGTTGCCTCCATTTTTTTATTACAGTGTTGCACAGAATACCTAAATACTTATCTTCCTAAGGACATGTACACTTCAAAAAAAAAATGAAAATAGTTTATCTAGACCATAGCAATTATGTATCCTATGATTTTCCACACCCTATGATATTTTAGATGTGTTTCTGGTGGAAATGCAGCTTTCATTCTGTTTTAACTTTTTTAAAGCAAGAAACAGTGTCACACCACACGCAGACTTCCACATGTGCTTTATTTCACACAGCAAGTTCTATCCACAGTATTCCACAGTGTGTATTCTTTCATGTCTGGGCCTTTTTTTTTCAATCAGTATTGTTTGTGAGATTCGCCTGTGATGTGTATTTTTAAAATTTGTCCATTTTCATTTTTATCCAGCATTCCCTTCTATAAATATTCACAAGCAGCATGGGACAGCGGCAGGAGTGAGATCCGCCCCAGATGGAGGTAAGGAAGAGATGTAGCATCTCCTTGTCTCTCCCTTCTACCCAAAGGCAACCACTTTCATGCAGTAGTATAGTTTTTAAATATATCAAACAGTGCCTATTATTTTGCAAACATGTTTCTTTCACTCAGCCATGTTTTTGAAGGTTTATTCAGTAGATACATGTAGCTTCTGCATCTGGTTTATTCATTTGGAGTGCTACATATATCTCACTGCATGTCTGTGTGCCATAGTTTATTCTACTGATGGATGTTTGGTTATTTATTTTGGCTGTGCTGGGGTCTTAGTTGTGGCATGTGAGATCTTTGCTGTGGCATGCAGAATCTGTAGTTGTGGCACCTGGGAATCAAGTTTCCTGACCGGGAATCAAACCTGGGCCTCCTGCATTGAGAGCTTGGAGGCTTAGCCACTACACCACCAGGGAAGTCCCATTTGGCTATTTAGTTTTCTGCTATTCCTCACCAAGCTGCTCGTCTCCTTGTGCTCGCGTACAAGTTTCTCTCAAGTAGATCAGAAATGGAACTTGTGGTCACAGGCTATGTGCGTTTTCAGCTTTCTCAGTATCTGCCAAATTACTCTCTAAAGTGGCTTTTATTAGCTTGACATCCCTCCAGCAATGTGTAAAACGGGCCAGACTCATTTCTTTCCTGGTGTCATATTTGCCAGCCTGGTCTATAATGGTATTATCTGTAGTTTTACTTCACATTTCCTTCAAATTGGATGTATATTCTCAGCACGAATCCTTGTTATCTATGTTGCAGTGTCTTTTTCTGCTCTCTCACCTTGTCTGTTAACTTGTACGGTATTTTTGGTCACCTGGTTTTCACTTTATTTTTTAAAATTATTTGGCTGTCTGGTCCTAACTGCGGTGATGGGCTCCAGGGCGCAGCCTCAGTAGTTGCAGCCTGTGGACTTAGCTGCTCTGTGGCATGTGCTAGCTCCCTGACCAAGGACCCATGTCCCCTTCGTGGCGGCAGATTCTTATCCACTGTACCACAGGAAGTCCCCACTTTTTATTTGGATGAAGGCAAATTTCCTTATGGTTTGTGCTTTTTGTGTGTAAAAAATGTTCTCCAGTGTTTGTCTTTCAAAAAGGCTATGGCTGTCAGGCAGATGGAGTAGGACCACTTTGAAGAGTGGTGCACGAAGGCAGCCTGTGCCTCTACCCCGTCCTGACCCCCGCCCTCCCCAGGCTAACTCCCGTGCTGAGCTGGGTCTGTCACACACGTGTGTATGCCGGGTTTGGAACCCAGGGTGCTGGGCTGAGATTTCCTTCGCTCGAGGCCGCTGTTGATTCATCTGTGGGGGTCACGGTGTGCTTCAAGCCCACACCACGCTTTCACCTTTGTGTGACGTGGCCTTTGCTCCTGGGTCCATTTTCCTGATGTGCCTGCTGTCGGAACAGTGCTGCTCCAGGCACCCGTGACCACACTGCCTGGGGCTTCCAGGATGGAATCGATGGTTTGCGAGCCACTGGCCCACAGCTGAGCTCCGTTTACTGGGAACAGCCTGGGGTTGAGCAGGACGTCTGCAGCTAGGGGGCGGTCACAGGCTGCTCCAGCAGAGGCATCCGTGATCTCACAGACCCCAAGTCAGGGTGCTCAGGGACCTGGAGCCTGTGTAATCCTAGGATCGGCTGTTGTCCTCAAACGTTGGCATCCGAGTCTGGGGAGGCGATTCCAAAGTCTGCTCTCAGTAGGCACCAGGTAGAAGCCCCCAGCCCCTCCCTGCACCTGGAGCTGCTCTGCAGGACGGAGTGGGGTGGGCATCCTCCGCATTGTGCGGGTGAGGAGCAGGCGCTTGCCAGCCACTAAGAGGTGAATTAGACGAGATCTGTGCTCCTCCTATCTGAGCTGTAGCTCGACCCGAGGCAACTTGGGAGGAAGGGCCAGCTCTGGGTGGCCGGAAGGGAGAAGCACCCAGGCCAGAGGACCCTGACAGGCCCCTGTGGCTCTGAGCTGCAGTTTCTCCATCTCTCACGTTATCACATGTGAGAGATCCTGCTTGGACGTCAAGACTCAGCTCTTGAACCCATAACTCAAGACGCCTTCTCTGACCTCACCGCCCACCGTCCCCACACTGGGCCTCCTGCACCAGACCGGAGCTCCCCAGAGGCTGTGTGCACCGCCCAAGAGCTCAAAATGGCCAGACCCCCACCTGCCTCCTGCCTGCCTCCTAGGATGGGGCGGGGGGAGGGCGAGGCCTGGGCATCGCTCTGCCACCCAGCCAAGAAGGATGTCGCCTGAGTGGTCTGTGGCCAGTAAAGACACAGCGCCCCCCCAAGCAACCTCAGAGAGAGCTGTTCACTGCAGAGCCTGTTCTAGGGCAGGCGGAAAGGACAGGGTTGGGCTGTCATCACACCACTGTGGCAACGAGAGAGAAGGACCCCAGGGGTGGTGCCCTCCACTCTGGGCCGCTTCCCATGCAGACCCAGGGGCTCTTGCCTTGGCTGCCAGCAGGGCCTGGGGCCAAATCTGGACCATGTTGCACTCAGCCGGGTCCATAAATGGAATAATGAAAGGGCCAGTGGAGCCCAAAGGTTAGGTAAGGCGGGACGTGGGGCTAGGCAGGTGAACCAGGGCCCAACTCACCTGCCCCTCCACCCTCCCCGAACTCCAGGTGGCTGCCCCTCCTGGTTACCACCCACCCAGCTGTGCGAGGGGGGCTGGCAGGCCCACCACAGAGGGAGAGGGCTACCAGGCTGCCCCTGGTGATGATACAGGCTGGCCTGGCAGCTCTTGGGCAAGGCAGACCGCCCCCTACAGACCTAGATGGGGGGAGGGAGGGGCATCACCATGGCCCCACGAGGCAGAATCCCAGGAATCAAGGCCTGAGAACAGCCCACTTTAGCGGAGACGTTCTCAGTGTTCACTGTTGCCACACTTTATTTGTGAAGCCCCGGGCACAGCCCAGACACACACACAGCACACGGGGAAAGCACAGTGTCCCAGGGCCCATCCGGCCCAGCCCAGCCTCCACCTCGCCCCGGCCCCAGGTCCTCAGGCCTGGGCAGGCCCTGTCCCTGCCCACGCAGCTGGAGAACAGGTGTGGGCCTGCCCAGACCCCCCACCTCTCCGGCGGGGCTCCCAGGCCGCACCCAGATACCTCAGCGGCCCGAGGAGGTCCCACGGGGTGCGGAGCCAGCGCTGTCCCAGCAAGTTCGGCTCCCAGACCCCCGGCTTCCCTTCCTGTCCACACAGGTGTGGGTGGCCACCCCCACCCCGTGGCCCCAACCAGAGCGGTCCCGGCCCCTCAGGCTGAGGAGTCGCACAGAACAGGATGGATGGTAGGGGCAGGGGTGGCCAGAGGAGCCGGGCCTGGTGACAGGAAGCTGAGCAGCCCTGAGCGAGCAGCCCCAGGCAGGACAGGACACACCCGGCCAGCAGCGCCCCAGGCCTGGCACGCCCACACTGGCGGCAAGGAAGGCGGGCGGGCAGGGACGGCTGCCAGGGCCTGGCGCCCGCACAGAGAGCAGAGGGTCCTCAGATGGCGGCAGCTTTAATGGCACAACAGCCTGCGGCCCTGGCGCCTGGGGGCCGTCAGCTCCGCTCCAGTGGGACCAGAGCCAGTCCGGCAAGGAGACAGGAAAAACTCAAACCCCGACCAGAAGCACATGCCCGCAAGTACGCCACACCGACACACACTCAGGAGACATGACACGTGAGACAAGCCCGTCCCTGCCACAGCCAGAGTCCTTCAGGTGAGTCCCTTCCCAAGTCATGGTCCAGGTGAGGGACGGGCAGCGGCCAGCTTGGCGTCTAGACCTTGTACAGCGTCTGCAGTAGATTGTGGCGGGCAAAGGAGCAGGATTCCAGGGCGCCGTTGGGTCTATGGGGAGAGAAGGGTCAGCGGGCAGTTCCCTCTGGACCCAGGAAGCTCTGGCTGCGCGGCGCCAGCTTCCCAGCTGTGACGCTACCCAGAACACACACCACACTCGGGTTTTCTAATTTTCATGACGACTTTGCAAGGCGGGGTGTCAGCTCCTGCCTTTGCAGGTGGGGTTGGGGAAGGCACCTGAGGCCACATGGCCCAGAGCTGGCGCAGGGCTGGAGACCCGGCCTCTGCCCTGCCAGACAGGCTCTCCGGGGCCTCTCCAGCGGGCACAGAGCCAGGGAGCCTTCTGCAGCCACTGGTCCCCATGGGAGTCCCAGCTGGGCCCCTGAGAGCCACAGGTAGCCAGCGAGATCGTTAGTTCCACCACCAAGAAAGGACTGGTGAGGTGCTCAGGGGGGCAGGGAGCCTGGGGAGCAGCAGGACCGGAAGCCACAGACACCCGGCCTGGTGCAGGCTGAGCCTGGACCCCGGACCCCTGGGCTGGAGCTGAGGGAAGGGAGCACACGTGACCCCACAGTCACGTCAGCCCCGAGCCCCCCTCTTCGCAAGTAGAATACACTGAGGCCTGCACCGGAGGGCCGGCAACAAGCTGGGGGGAGGCAGTCTATCACTGACCAGCCGGGCAAGGGTGTCTGTCTTCTAGGAGTTCGGGGTCCATGCCCAGCCCAAGGGCTGGACAGGAACAACAGGAGAACAGAGACAACAGTCCCAACCAAGGGCTGGAAGGAGACATGGGCAGCCGGGGGTGGCCGCTGGGGGCTGGGGACACTCTAGACAGCCTGCGGCAATGGCTCCTACGGCGGGGACCACGTGCAGGGAGCGCACCTCAGCCTGGCGGAGGGAGGCCGGGCTGCGGCCCGCCCGAGATCCACGCCCAGGGCTGGGATTCGCCCTGGGCTTTGGCGGAGGGGCAGCTGCAGCATGAGGGGAGGCCTGGGGTGGGGCGGGGGGCCGAGTGTGGCGGCAGGGGCGGGCGCACACAGCGAGGGCGTCAGGCCGGACCAAGGAGCACCTGAGATGCCAAGCGACAGAGGCCAAGGCCCCAACTGGGTCCTGGGGGCTGGTGGGTGGTCCTCACCCCTCTAGCCTATGCAGGCTACCCCCACATACTCCCTCACAGGCTCCAAGCGCCCTGACTGACGGCCGGAGACCCCTCCTTTCTCCTTGGCCCCCTCCCACGTTCCCCCAAGGCCCTGGCTTCACCAGAAGTGTGGTGGTCAGAGCCTCGGAGACAACCTCACCCACCCCTCAGTTTGGCAGACGGGGAGACTGAGGCCTGGGGAAGGCAGGGGCTTGGCTGGGGGCCACACGGGGCCTCAGTGAAGACCGGGACGAGCTCCCACCCCACCCCACCCCACCCCACCCCTGAGTTCGGGAGGCTCCTTGTTCCTCGACTGTGGCCACCACCCTACCAGGCCCAGGACCCTCCGGGACAAGGCCTGGGCCTCCACGTGTCTGGGCCCATGGCATCCCCAGGAGAGGGGCCTGTGGCTGTGGAGGGCCGGGCGAGCAGGCCCCCTTGGCCCAGGCTGCTGCGGGAATGGACACAGAACTGCTCCTGGGATGCTGCTGGGCATGGAGCCTGGATCGGCAGCACGACATGGGCAGACCCCCTCTGACCTGGTGTTCACTGCCTTGTCTGGAAGACGGGGCCACTGCCGTGTCCCCACTCTCAGAGAAGGATACGGTGCCCGAGCCCCGTGTCCTCAGCTGGCACAGGCCTGGTGAGATGCAACACAGAGGCCGAGGGCCCGGGAGGCCCGCGTGACCAGGCCGGGGACACGGACGCTGGCCACATGAGCCAGCGGGCACACTCACTTGGTCACGAACGCCAGCAGCAGGGGCGCCAGGGCCTTGGGGAAGTAGTCCTGCTGCACCACGTGGTTCAGCGTCATCAGGGGGCCGTGCAGGTTGCTGATGGCCTTGATCTTGTCTTCACTCTGCGAGACAGACACACAGCCGAAGGCCAGGTGAGCGTCAAGGTCACCCGGAGGACACCCAGTCCCCAGCCCGGCCCCCGCTGACAGCGCCCCACGGCCGAGGTCAAGCTGAATCCCGCATCCCATCACGAAGGCCGAGCCTGCTTAAGCAGATCCAGGCCTGGGGACAGTGGGCGAGCAGCCCAGCCAGACTCGAGGTGCTGGATGTTGGGGTGCACCCCCCTGCCTGGGCCCACGCTCCTTCTGGCACACCTTGAGCAGCCCCATGTGGATGAGGAGCTGGGTGAGGAAGGCGTTGGAGTTGAAGGCAGACGAGCTGAAGGCCTTCTTCATCAAAGCATCTGCAAGGCAGAGGCAGTCGAGAGGACTAAGGTCATGTGGCCCCCAGGCACACAGGCTGGCCCTGCTCCTGCCTCCTCAGGAGGTGGACATGGCCACGGTAGCCAGACGGAGGGAACAGCCAGCACCAGGGAAAGGGCTCATCTCCCCCCCCCCCCAACCCCCTCCCATGACACCGGGGCCCGGCCTGGCCTCGGGTACAACAGGCGTGGGCAGAGAGGAGGTGACGCAGGTCACCCTGGGGCGGTTTCAGCTGGTCTGTGGAGGTCGGGGGTTGGGGAATGGATGGGGGAGCAGGAGGAGGTGTGGCCAAGGCATTACAAGAACCCCACAAGCCCCTGCTCCCGTGTGAGGCTATTCCGGGAAACAGAATTCAGGCAACTTGTCCCCACAAATGCCCCAAGTGGGGCAGGGCCGGGCCTCAGGGAACAGACACAGAGACCCCCGCCTGGCCCTTCCCGCCCCTCCCAGCCACCCCTCCACCAGCCCACCAAGTGTCACCCGCTTCTCCCATCGCTTCCAGCCTGTCCTCCCCTCCCTGCCTGGCCCAACCTGGCGGCTCAAACACTGGCAAGGTGGAAGGTGCGAGGTGCTGTGAGGAGAGTAACTGAGAGGATGGGGTGGCCAGAGAGGGTCCTGACAGGATGAGAGACCCTCGGAAGCCTGGGCAAGGCCTGAGGACCTGCGTGTGGGTGGAGGGGACGGTTTGTGCAGCGGCTCGGAGGCGGGGACAAGGGTTCAGCCCTCATCACCCCTCCTCGGAGAGGTCTGACCTTCCTGCAGAGGGCACCACTTGGCCCGAGCTCTCACCGTATAGCACTGTATGGCTTTGGGAAGGGCCTCAGGCTCCCCATCTGCAAAAAACAGAGAGGCGAGCACCCTGCCCAAGCTACGCGAGAACCCGACGAAGAGCAGATGGGAGGGCAGCTCTGAGCCGAGCCGGGGCAGCGAAGAGGCCGGAGCTGTCCAGGCCGCCCCTGCACGCACCTACTGCGTCCTGCACAGCCGTCCGCACCGAGGCTTCATCCTTGAACACGGAGGACACCTTCAGGAAGGCGGAGACCACCTTCTCCGGGTCAGACGTGTCAGTCTGAGGACACAGGAGACGATGGCTGGTCACCAGGGGCCAGGGGCCTTGGCAGACGTGAGCACCTGCCTGTGGCTAGAGGAGGCCTTGGCAGGACACGGGCCTTCGCGGGGCAGGGACACAGTCCCCCCAGACCCAGCAGGGGCCCGGCCACCACAGGTGTGTAGCACCCACGGAAAGTGTACATGTTAAAAACCACTGTCTCCAGGGATCCCCTCTTGCAGTCTAACCTGATGAAATAATCCAGAACGCAAACGATGTTCACACGAAAGGAAACGTGCCTCAGCTTAACCAACAACAGAGGAAAAGCGGAAATACAGTGGATCCCCAGAAACTGGATGGTTTAAGTGCTACATCTGCTCACTGACACAAAGGGCGTGAGAAGAGCTGTAGTGACACAGAGAACATGACTGGTGTTCAGGGAAAGGGCGGCCACAAGAAGGTCAGTATCGTATGATCTCATTTACCATGGGGGAAACAAATCGCACACACACAGATTACAGAGAAACATAAAAGGGAAATAAAAAGCCAAAATATCAAGCCAGCTCTGCGAGTGGCCCCTTTTATTTCTTAGAGACACACCTCAGAGATACTGTGGGCTTGATTCCAGACCACAGCAATAAAGCAAATACCACAGTAAAGCCAGTCACGTGAACTTCAGATTGCCCTGCGTGTTAGTCTACGAAGTGTGCAGTAGCATGTCTAAAAAAACAGGTACATTAACTCAAAAACACGTTCTTACTAGAACACACTGTTATCTGAGCCTTCAGAAAGTCATGATCTTTTATTGGTGGAGGCTATCAAACACTGTGAGAAATACCAAAATGTGACAGAGACACCGAGCAAGCAAATGCAGCTGGGACCACGGCATCAACAGACTTGCTCACCACGGCTGCCACAAACCTTCCATTTGTGTAAAAAAACAAAAAACCACATGCAGCCTCAGCTTTCTCATCCGTCAAACGAGTGTAGAGGGTCTACGTTCCGAGGTGCCAAGAAGGTTAAAATCACGTCCAAGTACCCAGAGCGGGGGGAGCATCAGGCACTGTGCACTGCTGCGCTCGGGTGACTGATGACCATCCCAGGAAGCACGGGTCAGCCACCCAACAGTGAGCAAGTGAACAAGAACACAAGCGGCCAGGGACCTGCTCAGGGGCCAGGGGCAGGAGAGCTGTTCTAGAAGCAGCTGGTCCTACAGAACGTGCAGGGGCAAGCCTACCCGTGTGCTCCCGGGACAGTCCTGCGAAAATTCCCCAACCTGTCATCACTGAGATGCCCCAGGCCTATCCTTCCTTGCGGCAAGTTGTGTTCACAGTGTGCGCACACCTGTGCCACCACTGGTCACACCCATTTACACGAGTGCGCATTAGATACAACGCTTGGCAGCCCCGCCCCCACCCAGCCCCGAGCTGTGCCGGAACCTCTGCTCTGGCAGCTCTAGCAGCAGAGGCCCAAGCGGGACTGGCGTCAGTGGTGCTGTTACCTGCTGGGCTATTAGCACGGAACTCTTGGGCCCGAGGCGCAGCAGCTTCTCCGGGGAGGGGAAGGCCAGGAAGGTGGAGACGTCTGCGGGAGGCGGGGAGGACAGGACAGGAGCTGGTTCCTGGGGGACGGGCGGCACAGGTGGCTCTGGAGAGGTCCACGTCCAGACTCCTTGCCCAGAAGGACGCCCCTCACTTGGGCCGCTCAAGGCTCAGACTCCAGAATTTCCCCAGGTTCCCCAAGGGTGAGGGGCCTGCAGAGGCTGGCCCTGGTCAGCTCCTCGCGTAGGAGCCTCTGGGGTGTGGGCAAGCACTTCCCTCAGACTCCAAGAGCCTGGTGCGGCCAAGGGGATCCTTGTGATGACATGGAGTACTGCACAATGACTCCAGGACTCAAGGGGCCCCGCCAGGAGCTGGAGTCTCAGCCGGGATGACTGTTGCCAGCAGGCACCAGAGGCACCTGGCCATCAAACTAGACAGTAAGCCACATTCAACACAGCGTGGCCTTCCGTGCCCAACCCGAAGTCCCCCAGAAGCTTTACTTGGGAACCTCTGAGGGAACAGACATGCCTCCCCGCCAGGAAAGGAACACCAAGTATCCAAGCTGGCTCAAGACCCGGCCACCGTCTCCAGAACGGGGGCCATCCCTAGGGGTCACCAAGATGGGGAGGAAAACGAATTTCCATTTTGCCTGTTTTTTACCCTACTCTTTTAGAAGCACTTATATGCCTCCAGCACAACTGAAAACCCAGGTACAACTTGACAGCTGCTCTCTGTGTCTGAGGCTCTACACCCGCAGATTCAACCAACTGCAGATCACGGAGCCGCGCTGCAGCCCAGTTACTGCAGACACCCACACACAAGCGGGCTCGTGCAGGGCACACCCGTGCTCCTCAGCAGTCTGCTGCACGGGATGCGGCGGCATTGTACGTGTGATAACTTATAAACGGACAGACAAATGCAGCTGCGCTGGGACGGTCTCCTCTCTTCCACAAGGCAGTGCACAGCAGAGCAAGTCTGCGGTCCTGTGCCCAAGGCGCGCCCACCCCCAGCCGCAGCCCCGGGGGCCGTCTCAGGGCCCCAGGACTCACCCCGCTGTTCGGGCCCGGGCCCTTCTGTGAAGGCGCGCTCGGCCCCTCGCCCTGCTCCTCCTGCTGCGGCTCCTCCTCCTCCTCCTCCTCCTCGTCCTCTTCTCCCTCATCCTCCTCCTCCTCCTCCTCCTCCTCCTCGTCCTCGTCCTCGTCCTCGTCGTCCTCACCCTCGTCATCACTGCGCAGGGAGACCTGGCTCAAGCAGGCCCCTCCCCGCCTGGTGGCCCATGTGGGCCCGAGGACCCACAGACCCCAGCCGGGCAGGGAGGGCCGGGTTGCGGGAGTTGCCAGGAGGCGCGGCCCACAGGGACGCCTGTGCTGCGGACAAGAAGAGCTCCATCCTGTCCGTCCCAAGGAACCCGCAGCCCCACGGGGGAGATGGAGGAAAGGAAGAACACTCTGTCACAGCTGGGTCCCGGGCCTGGCGGGAACACTGCCCAGGCTGAGATGCCCAGGACGGTGCCACCCACGTCTTGCTGACCACAGGAAACGACGGTTAAGGGGGATCGAGGGGGCCGCCCTGCCTCTGAGGAAGGCTGTTCCACTTCCCCCCGAACTGGGGGGCCCCTTGAGCCCATCCTGGCCTAGTTCCTGCAGCAGCATGGGGCCTGGGCCTGCGGGGACATGACCGAGGACCTGACACAGGAATGACGCCCATCTAGAGATCAGAAAGGCAGGCGGAGACGGGTGCTGACGGCCGAACCAACTCCCATCCAGATGGAGGAGGCAGCCCCCCGCTGCCTCAAACCCAGGAAGACCTCCTTCTCCTACATCAACCTCTTCCTTCTCCAGTCGACCTCCAAGATTGGTCTCAGGAACAGCCCGGGCCCACCCCCGGCCACTGCATCCCACGTCACTGCTGCCCTGCATACCGTCACTTCAGACCAAAGCGCATCCCTTAGGAGGCCTGCCCGACCCTCCCGCTCTACAGGGTGACTGTTCTCAGTCCCCTCCGTGTTCCTGTGATATTTACACGCGATCACTTGATTATCCTTGTCTCATTCCTTGATCCCTTGCCCATGGCAACAAGGTCTTGACTGTCTTGCTGTCGATCCCCTAATGCCCAGCATGGTGCCTGGCACACCACAGGGACTCAACCCATGTTTTCTGAATGAATAAAGGGAGGAATAAAGGATCCAGTCCCCAGACCCCTACCTGAGGGACGCCAGCACTGTGGCCAGGTTGAAGCCTTCCAGCACTTCCTGCAGCTGCTCGCAGCCTTCTTCTCCCAGCATGTTGCCTGCTCGCGGGGGAGGGGCCGGGGGTCAGCACAGGGCGGGGCCCATCCAGCAGGCCGGGACCGAGGCCACCCCACTCCTACCATTGAGGTCCAGTTTCTCCAGTTCCGCCTTGTCTGCCACGGCCTCAGCAACAGACAGAGCAGCCTCTCTCTTGATCTCACCGAATGACAAGTTCAGCTCCTAAAAGATAACGGGAAGGGTTAGGGTTAGAGGCAAGCAGACACAGGAGCCAGGAGACGGGGACAGAGACGGGGCCAGGAGACATGGGGGACCAGGAGACATGGGGGACCAGGAGACACGGGGGCCAGGAGACACGGGGACCAGGAGACACGGGGGACCAGCAGACACAGGGGAGAGGAGACACGGGGACCAGGAGACATGGGGACCAGCAGACACAGGGGAGAGGAGACACGGGGACCAGGAGACATGGGGACAGGAGACACGGGGGACCAGGAGACACGGGGAGAGGAGACACGGGGACTGGAGACACAGGGAACAGAGACACGGGGACCAGGCGACACGGGGGACCAGCAGACACGGGGGAGAGGAGACATGGGGACCAGGAGACACGGGGGAGAGGAGACACGGGCACCAGAGACATGGGGACCAGCAGACACAGGGGACCAGGAGACACGGGGGAGAGGAGACACGGGGGACCGGAGACACGGGGACCAGGAGACCCGGGGGACAGGAGACACGGGGACCGGAGACACGGGGACCAGGAGACACGGGGGACAGGAGACACGGGGACAGGAGACACGGGGGACAGGAGACACGGGGGACAGAGACACTGGGACCAGGAGACACGGGGGACAGAGACATGGGGACAGGAGACACAGGGACAGGAGACACGGGGGACAGGAGCTTCCACTCCCCCAGGTGAGGGTCTGAGATGGACTCTGTCCGGCCAGATACAACACCGCCATGACAAAAAGAATGCTGTTCACCCAACGACAGGACAGGTTCTGAATGTTCACTCCCACTAAACTGCAATGAACCGAGTCACTTTTCTTCTCTTTGAAAAATCAGAAACCCTAGCTTGGAGGGGTGAAGAGACTTGCAGAGTCATCAGGGAAGGAGGATGTGGAAGGGCTGGGCTGCGAACCCTGCCTTGAAAGGCCTGAACCCTGCCCCCTGCACAGCCGTCACCCTGAGCGCAGGGGAGCCGGGACCCCGCAGGGAGGAGGCAGGGGGTCGGCCAGGACCTTCAGCTTCGGCAGGCCCCCGCGGATGGCATCTGCGATGGCGACGGCGCCCTTGGAGCGCACCAGGCAATCCCCGAAGTTGATCACCTCCACCTGCCGCAGGGTCGTCAGCGTCTGCGGGAGGAGGTGGGGACCAGGGTGAGGCCCTCCTTGAGCCAGTGTCATACCCCACAGCACCCTGTCCCTCTGCATCCAGTCCAGTCGCCTCATCAGCTCTTCCTGTTGCCCCCAGGAGGCCTTCCAGCCTCTGGCTAAGTCCCCTCCAGGGCTCCCTATTACTCACGGGAGAAGGTCTCAGGAGTCAGCAAGGCCCCCCTCCAACCCCCAGCCCTCAGACACACCTTGACCCCTGGCCTGGTCACACCAGGCCCAATGGAGCAAGGGTCACTCCCGTCTCTGGCCTCCCCGCGGGCTGCTGACCCCGTTGCCCGAAACACCCCTCCTGCCCTCCCTGTCCACACAAAGTTCACTTGTCCTGGAGAACGTGGCCACCACATGGCCTCTTTCAGGAAGCCTGCCCTGCATCTGGCTAGACTCCCTGTGTGCTCCCCAACACTTGCACACGTCTGTTAAGACCCCACAGCAGGACTGTGAGGTAGACGGGAGCAGCGGCGTCTCCCACCCAGCGGCCCAACGCCTAGCAGCCACTGTGCTCCTGGCCAACTGGCTCCTTCCTCCCCTCCTCGCCCTCGGGGCTCCCTGAAGGCAGAGTCCTGGACTCCGCTGTGAGGCCTGCACTTGGCAGAGCACTGGGCGCTAGACGGGGCTCAGTAAACAGCTGAGGACACAGTTGACGAGGCCGACAGGCGGCAGCAGCCTCTATGTGGCCCCTGAAGCCAGCACCAACAGCTGGGGCTGCAGCACGGAGGCCGCTCAGGACAGGGCAGCGCGGACATGCAGAGCTGCCCCCAGGACCCAGGCCCCCAGGTGACAGATGCCCCATTCTGGACGCATGCACATGGCTGAAGCCACGGGATACACGCCAGGTGGGCGGGCCGGGGGGAGAGCAGCCACCTGCTGATGGGTCTACAGCAAAGACAACCACCAGTCCCGGCCTCCGTGGCCCACTCCGGCCCTGCTGTGCCCCTCTCACCTTGGCCATGGCCATGGCGCCCTTCTCGGTGAAGGTGTTGTCATTCAGGTTGATGACCCGCAGCAAGGGGTTGATGGCGAAGGCCTGGGCCAGGGCAGTGACGCCGGGGTGGTTGATTCCGTTCTGGGGCATGTGGACCTCCTCCAGAGTCCCAATGATCTGTGGGGGGGCAGGAGGGAGAGCAGTGGGCCCTGAGGCCAGGGGCGGAGCCAGGGGACACCCTGCGGGCAGGAGGGCAGCACCACCCACCAAGCATGGGAGGGGCTTGTCTGTAAACAGATGGCAAAGCTTCGGCCTGACCAACCGCACCTCTCACAAGGGAGGCGTACTTGGGATTAGGACCGTCACCAGAGAGGTGACTGGGATCAGAGGGGCTAAGTAACTTGCCCAGGGCCACACAGCTCTGAGCACTGGTGTCTGTCTGGCACCTCTGCACTGCGGGGACCCTGGGCTCTGGCCCACAGTCAGCCCAGGCCTGCTCTGTATAATGCAGAGCCACTTGGTCTTTCTTTCTGGGGGTCCTGCTGCCTTACTGACAGAGTACAAATGGCAGCCCATGTTCCACATCCTTTTCTGGGGATGAGGGGGCTTCCTGAACCTAGCGAACCCCCTCACTCCAGCCTTCCCACACCTCCTTTTCTCTGCCTGGAACACTCTGTCTCCTCCTTTTGCTGGCATCTTCTTGACAGGCTGACTCCTCATGCTTTCAGTAGCTCTCATTTTAGATGCCTCCTCCCCTAGGAAGACTTCCTGGATTACCCTCCCTCAACCCCCCACCCCCGCCCCCAGCACAACCCAACACTCTTCCTCTCTGCCCCCAGAGCACTTCATCCTTCCCCTCACAGTGTTCATCCCTCTGAAATGTCAAAGCTACCTTCCTGTCTGCATCCCAACAGCCCCCAAGATCTCAAGGAGAGGCCAATGTCCCAGTCTCCATCACTACCCTGGAGGGACTGAGGACAGGCCTGGCCTAACTCTGTACCCAGGCACCTTATTGTCTCTGGGCACCCAGCACAGCGTGGGGGTTCACAAATGAACACAGGCAGCCCAACTGAGGCACATTTCAAGTCAGGGCTCTTAATGTTTTCTGTGACACAGACCATGGGGCAATCTGGTTAAACCCCAGGGCTCCCCCTCTGGATGTTTTTAAATTTTAAGCTAAATTATACAGAATAACAATTCAACTGAAAGACAAGTATCAAAATGTTTAGAAAACTGCTTAAATGTTTGCTGTAGTCATACATATACCTCTTAGGCCAACAAATAATAAGACCTTGGTGTACCATTAACCTTAATGTATAAGAAACAAATACTTCTGTCTATTCACAACAGCTATCATTTGACGTGAAAATACCTGTGATTTTTCCTGGTAACAAAGCCACAGAAATTTCTAAAGCTGAGGTTTACTGTCCACATTCACCATAGAAGGTAAATGCTGCATTTCATTAGCTCTGGTAGTGAAAACAATCATGCAATATCCCGCACCCCCGGCCACGTTCAAAGCCTCCCTGAACTCTATCCACAGACCAGTGGGATCCCACAGCATGCATGCTCGGTCGTGTCCAGCTCTATGCAACGCCATGAACCATAACCACCAGGCTCCTCTGTCCATGGAATTTTTCAGGCAAGAATATTGGTGCAGGTTGCCATTTCCCACTCAAGGGGATCTTCCTGACCCAGGGATCGAACGCAGTCTCCTGTGTCTCCTGCATTAGTAGGCAGACTCTTTACCACTGAACCACCTGGGAAGTCCACGGACCCGAGTTAAGACACCCTGCCCCGAAGGACCCCTGAGAGCACCCCCTCCAGCTGCAGCTCCTGCCCTCCTCCCTGGCTCATGGGCAGTTTGGTGGGCTCCATCCCAGCGCCCTGCTCACTGGGGCCAGGGGCTGCGACCCTACAAGCCAGGGTCGGCACTCACGCTGCTCGGGCACCTCCGCTCGTTTCCCAGCCTGGTGGGTCACAAACAGCACTGACAACTCACCCCCAGGAGGCAGATCACGCCACCTTTCAGACCCGAGTGATGGGGATCCTGTCCCAAGAGGATGAGCTAGCAGCCTCGGAGAGGGAGGCAAGCTGCCCGAGGTCTCTTGGCCAAGTTCTAGACTCAGCCTGCCACACTCAGCCGGCCCCAGGGCAGGCAGGGCAAAAACCACTCACCCCAAAAGCTTCTGCCAAGGCGGTGGCTCCGTCATTCTCCAGACGGTTTCTGCCAGCCACGAAGACCTTCAGTGCCAGCGGCTTACCTTGGGCACTAGACTTCCGATGACACTCGGTCAGAGCTGCTGCCAGGATCTAGGGGAGGCAGGAGGCCCTGGTCGTCAACATGCTGCACCAGCCACGGCCCAGGTGGACACGGGCCGAGAGCCGCTCAGCACCTTGCAGGAACATGGGCTTTGACATCCACCTCTGTGTCCGCCTGTCGGGCTTAGCCCCATGGTAGGGACAGGGAGAGGGAGGCACCAACACCGAGTGACGTGGGCCAGGGGCTTCATGGTTGGCCCCCTTAGTGTCAGGACCCTCTGTCAGGTGGGCACCGTCATGACTCCCATGCTCCAGCTGAAGAAACTCGGGCTCAGAAAGCGACAGAAACTTTCCTACAGACACCATGCAAGCGGCACACCCTGGACAGAACCTGAACCTTCTGGCATCTCCTCCACGCTCCACAAGGCCTCAGGGGAGCCAGCCAAGGAGGGCAGGGCTCCCCCCACCATGACCCATCTGACACCTGCCCAGGCTCCAACCAGCCACACAGTGGGGGCTCAGCTGCTGGGGGTAAAAACCTAAAACCTGGTTTGCCCTGACCCTGGGGTGGTGCCAGGAGGTGACCTCTATCTAGTGACACCAACAGAGCAGGAGGTTACAAATACTGGTCGGCTGGTGGGTTGGAAATAGGGACCCTGCAGTACAGAAGATGTAAATGGTTCTCGGGCAGTGCAGCAGGAGAGACATTTACACGCATCTGCTAGGCCCTGAGCACTCCTGGCCAAGGCACTTTCACACCTTGTTCAACCTCAAAACCAGGCCGGGAGGCAGAAGGTATTAGGCAGCTGGGTCAGCGTGGCTGCACACAGCTCTACTCTGGGGCACATACAGGACCCAGGACACCGCCAGCCTAAGCCCGCAGTGGCAGGGGTCGGGCATGTGCTCAGGGCAGAGACCACCGACGCCTGCTGTAGGCCAGCCTGAGGGGTCTGCAGAGGTGGCTCTACTCCAGGTTGGGCTGGACTGGTCTCTTGTGCTGAGGCAAACACTGTCGTCTTAACACACAGCTTACTGACCCTAGACCGGAGGCGTGCGGCTCAGAAGGCCCAGCGTGAGCCGCTCGCCCTTCCATAGGGCAGGAGGCGACAGGCCATGTGCAGGGCAGGCCACCACGGCTCCTCAGCCTGGGCACCTTGAGCATACACTGGCACCTCCTGCTGCTCCGACCGGCCACGGGGATGCCGGTTCAAATCCCACATCCGTCCCACGCTACCTACGTTATCTGAGGAGCACGACTCAAGAGCTCTAAGCTCAAGTGCCGTTCTCTGAAAAGGCAGGGACAGTGTCACCCACCTTTCAGTAAGGCGGGGGGAATTAAGATGACATGTCTCCAAAGAGAAGATGTCCCTGTTCGCTGTTAGTTCCTACACCCTGGCCCTTTGCTCCTTTTGGTCAGACCGTGAGGGAAAGAAAATGGGAATGCAGACTGGCGCTTGGCCTTTCTAGAAGCTGGGCCAGAAGCAGCCAGAATGGGCCAAGAAGAGAATAATCAGGGCTGCCCTCTCCTAGCCCGTCTGCCCTGACCCGCCTGATTGCTGGCAGGACAGGGGAGGCACCCTGGGCAAGGCCCTGACCAGGGACAAAGGTGAGCTGTGCCCGGGCCTCCCTGAGTGGTCCCTCTCTCTGGGCTCGCTCCCCCACGTGCACATGCCAGGCCTCACGTGGCTCTGGCAGCTGTTCCGAGGGCACAGCGGGTCTGGTGATGCCCAAACCCTGTGCTCTGCAGAGCCAGCAGGTTGGAGCACGTCTGCAATACTGCCTGTGGGTTGCCAAGGCAACACGGAACTGAGGATGGTTGCTTGGCAACCCCACCCTCACAGATCCATCTCCTCTCCCCACTGGCCATAGGCTGCTGCCTTTGAGGCCTTTGTCCTTTGAAGAGAAAAACAAGAGGCGAATCATATCAGATGGTGCGTGGCCAAGGGCACATACTCCAGGCGGACGCAGATGTAGCAGGGGATGGGGCAGGGAGGAAGGCGGAGGACACAGGGATGTGGGGAGGGAGCGGCCGCACCCACCTTGCCACCACCGATGCCCATGCCACAGTTGTTGAGCTTGAGTTCGTGCAGCGTGAAGCAGGCGGAACTCTTGAGCAGGGCCTCAAAGCCTCGCACGCCGTCGGGCCCGAAGGCATTGTCACTCAGGTCCAGCTCCACCAGCTGGGCCCCGGCCGTGATGAGTCCCTCCCCGAGAGAGATCTGGGCACAGAGGAGCTTGTGTCAGTTTCAGAGACAGGGACCAGGCGCTACTTCTGTGCCAGGCCCTCCCTGCCCTCGGGGGGCATTAGGCAGTTGGGGACCCGGCAGACACAGGCCATTTCAGTACAGAGCTGACCATGTTACATCGGACTGAAAACCCTGCAGAGGACTCTTAATTCAGCTGCAGCCTGGGGCTTAGTATGGTCATCCAGGAAAGCTTCCTCCAGGAGGCTGCATCTGAACTCAGTCTGGATGAGCAGCAGCCAATCATGGAACATGAGGAGATTCCAGCCAGTAGTAAACCCACAAGCAGAGGGACACAGCACGAAGCAGCAAGCTGTGTGTCTGGGGACAAGCCTCCAGGAGAGGCAGGGGTCAACTCAGGCAGGCGCCAGGCCAAGAACTGTGAACTTGGGCCTGAGCTCAATGGGCTTGGAGGAGCATGAGGGGTACAGAAGACACAGCCCCAAACCTGAGGAGGGCAGACGGACAGGCGGAAGCAGGCTGGAGGCTGAGTCCCACCCGGGATGTGAGACAGGGTTCCAGGCAACAGAAGGGGCTGCGGGGGCCAGTGTGATGAGAGGTGTTGGAGGGGAGACCGAGTCTCGGCGGGGTTTTCAAAGAGGGAGGGGGGACCTGCAGAGACTGGGGTTTACTGGACGGGGAGGGAAGGAGGTACCACTGATGCCCCAGTGTTTCCAGCAGTGACTGAGCACCTAGGGTGGGTGCCCAATTTCCTGCCTCAGTCCAGGATCTGATGTGGCCAGAAGGTGAAGGCTCCCAGGAACCTACCAGGCTGGGACACCTACGTTGCCCAGGACAGTGGGCAGGGAGAGGCGGCTCTGCCAGGGCTGGGCATGGAGGGGGCAGGGGTTCAAGGTGAGAGGCGTGACGAAGACACTGCCCTTGACCCGGCAATGGACAGGGCAGCTGAGGCAGTTTCCATGACCCCCAATCCCAGATTAACAAGGGCCATTCTCTGGTTCCCCCACCTGCTGAAGAAAACCCAGCCCCAGTGATCAGGCCACAGCTGACCTCAGCCCTTAAGCAGTCAGAGGCTCAAGCCCTCCCTCTACGCCACTCCACCCTCCCTGCATTTCACGCCATTCCCTGACCCTGAATTTGTATTCCTGTTTCTAAGACTTGCTCCCACCGTAAGTTTAGTATGGAGATCATACCTCCTGCAGAACTTGAGAAGATTAAATGCTAAAATGTAGGTAAAACAACAGCACAGAGGCCCACAGCTAGGATCTCGTAAGTCAGTCTCCAATTTTTCCAACTTGAAATCCTTTTACACACATTTATATCAAATCACTTAACTTGCACTTTGAATCCTAGCTGCACCTGGTTCTTGTCCACCCTCTGGGGCTGGTATCCAGCTTGAGCAACTCTGCTGGGGCTCCATCAACCTCCCACCCAGGGAGCCCCCCCTTCAGCGTCCCCATGGGGTCACTTGTCCCATCCTGGATGGCCCTTAACTGTCTGCTGGCCAGAGGCGCTTTAGAGATGAGGCTAGTGCCAGCATCTCAGGAGGGCCAGAGCTGGCTGATCGGGGGCCTGAGAAGATAGCACCAGCACAACACAGACAGACCAGGAGCCCTGCAGGGCCTGTGCTGGGAGGCTGCCAGCCCCGGGCAAGCCACGCTGGGTCCTGCGACCCTCCAACGCCTCCCACACACGTGAACAGGCTGGGAGCTCCACCCAAACCAAGCTGAGCCCCAGGAATGGGGAAATGGAAAACAGGCAGAGAGAAGCCACCCAAGACGAGAACCAAAGCAGGAAGAGTGGTATCAGAAAAAGAGAGGGGCCGGAGGAAGACAGGGCGACCTGTGTGCAGAGTGAAGTCGAGAGGGACCTCAGGACGCAGAGGAGGAGGGGCTGGGATGAGGGGGTAATCATCTGGGAAGGAGACCCACGCTGCTTGTGGGCGAAACCTCTGCGCTCAGGTCTCTGCTGTACTTCCTGTCATTGGGCCGCCCAGTCTCCCAGGGCCCTCTGAGTCCTCACTTCTGGCTCCCCATCACCACCTGCTTGTCAGGACACAGACAGAGACTGTGCTCGCCTGGCTTCCACAGCAGCATCTCGGCCATCCCCAGGGCACTCTCAGTCTCCACAAAGAGGAGGCTGTGGGGGAAAGTCCTGGGAGGTGCTAAAGGGGTCCCTGTGGCCCGGGGCACAGGCAGAGGCTGCCTTCACTCACCAGGGCGGGAGGGATCTCCGACCGCAGCCTCCCCGTGAACATGTCGCTCCAGTGGCATCGCTTTGGAAGAAGAAGAGAGTTAGCGGAAACCCTCGGAGGTGGCCTTCAGGCAGCCCTCGCCCCCATGGGCCAGGGACCAGCTCTGATGGACGCTGACAGGACCTGGAGGCCCCAGAGGAAAGGACTGTGGGGCTCAGCAGCAGTGTCAGGAAAACCCTCCACCTGTCCAACCCTCTGTTTCTCAGAGAAAAAAGTAATCAGGCTGAGAGGGAAGGAGGCGACTGGCCCCAGGCCCCCGGCAAGGCAGTGGAAGGACCAGGACGAAGACACCAGACTCCAATTTTCCCCCATGGTGTGGGCCATAGTGACACGGGACGTGATCTTGGAGTGGAGGAATGGAAAGGAGACAATATAGAACCCAGCAGCGAAGAAGTTACTGTCTTTTCAAGTCTCTTTTCAACCCTCCTAACCACCTCCAGAAGACAGGTTTGGTTTGGGGTTGGTGGGTCTCACCCACGCCCCCACTTCCAGCTCATCTGCCTTTTCAACAAAGGGAGAGAAGGCCTCAGGTTCAGACCCTTTAGATGACAGCAACCTTGAACTAGAATTTAATAACACTCTGATTTCCTTTACGGTAAGGGATGTGATTTTCCAGTTAGAGAAGAGATCATATTTGCTTTTAAATTACTTCCAAGTGAGCCGATTTAAAGGCAATACCAGGTAAATATCACAAAAGCCACGTGGCTGGGTCACGTACCATGCTGGGGAGCAGAACTGAGGTCCCACCTCTAACGCTGGGTCTGTGTCCGCCTAAAATATCACCTCTGGCAGCTCTGGCCTTTCCTGGCCAACCCTCGGAAAAATGGACACAGGAGAAGCAACTCTCCCTGAAACCCAGACCTCAACACGTATGAACTAGACCTAACCTTAAGTACTAGAGAAGTCGGTGTTGGCAGAACTTTCACATCCTCCAATAAAGCAAATCACTAACAACCCTGCAGACATTCTACACGGGTCGGCTGGGGAAGTTACATCTGTACGCAGGTGTGTGGGTTCAGAACTGGCAGCTCCAGCCTAAGCTCCTCCCTATAGACAGTGTTCTTATCTGGAAGCTTCCCCAGCCCAGCTCTGATGGGCTGAGGTCAGCGTGGGGCTCCAGGGCACGCGGTTTCCTTCTAGTTCTGGCTCAACTGACCCAGGCCTGCTACTCCCTGACTCTGACCCCCGGTGTCTTATCTCTGAAACAGGCTTTAGGCCTCACTCATCTCCACGCGGGCAGCACAGCAGTCGAGAGGCTGGGGTGCTGTCTGGGGTCCAAGTTTGGGCCACACTCTGCTCACCTGGCAAGACCTAACGTGTGAGGTGCTGCAGGAGTGGAACTACCATCTTATCTTGCCTCAGCGCTGTGCCCACACGGGCACCGGTATCATGGGCACCTCTGCCCTGGCCGCTGCTCCAACACCCCCAGCTCCTTCCTGCAGACAGGCTAGCTTGAGACACTGCGGTGGGGCGATTCAAGGCCCTGGGTCTGCACAGGGGAATGTGAAACAGGCCCTACTCCCGCAGCTCAAGTGTGCTCACTCCAGCCAGCCTGTGGTCACCATGGCAACCACCCAGGGAGGCAAAACTCTCTGCATCAAGGAGCCCAGACGCCACGTGAGGCCAGGCAGTGCAGCCAATGAGGTGGTGGCACTGGGCTCCAGCCCAGGCCCTCGGAGGCCTACGCTCAGCTGCTGCAGCCTCCAGGCCCAGGCACGTCTCCTCTGTCCCCGTCCTCCAGGGACCACCCGGGACAGCCGAGCTCCTTCACAGGAAAACGTCCCAGCTCACGCGCAGGAAGAGGACAGCCCCGGGCAGGAAGCAGAAGCAGCCCTGCCTTGGCTGTCTGTTAACCTGACCATGATCCTCCTGAGGACACGAACATCAGGGGCCCTCCGCTTCCTCTCACGGCCCTGGCCTCGTCCATCTTCCCTTTCAGAAAGCCCTCAGGGCCACGGAACGTGCGCTGGACTTGGAAATGTGAGCACAGCTCAGCCTCTGACCAGCAGCAGGATCTGGGGAGGCTGACTCAGCTGCCCTGAGCCTATTCCCTTGACTCACAAGATGGAGACGCAGCTTTATGACAGCACTTCTCTCAGAGCATGCTGAAGGACCAACATTCAGAGGAACCCGCTCTGAGAAACACCAGAAGAATCTCTGGGTTGGCCGAGGAAGGGCACCGCTTGCATCTAACCTTCAAGAAAGGACCAGCCATTCGGCTGTGAGAAGGGCATCTAGAAGGCCCCCAGTGAGCAGCCCTCCAACCACCAGCACCTGAGCTGAGGTGTGGCTATTTCTTTCCCAAACGCGCCTCCTCCGAGGGCAGTCTTTGCTCAGGAGCCGCGGACTGGGCTGAGCACCTGTCAGAACAGCTCCCATATCTGCGTCACGAGCTGCAGGCTCTCTCTCCAGCTCTGCTCCTTCCTCACGCGTGACCCAGTAAACCTCTTACACTCCTGACACCTTCTCCGGGTCTGTGACCGCCGGCCTCGAGCAGACACATCACACGGGGAGAGGGGCCCCGGCCAGCGCTGTGCTCCGGGGAGCCCGGAGCAGGAGGGGCTGTCCAAGGTGACCCCCCCGCAGGGCCCAGGAGGGACTGGACACAGGTACCTGCCGGGGGGGCGGGGGGGCGCGTGAGCGGAGGCCTGTCTCCAGCCAGGCTGGGCCTGCTCGCCGCCGACCTCACCTTCAGCTCCGACTTCTTCTCCAAGGCCTTGGCGATGACCCTGGCTGCCTCCACGCCCACCGTGTTGCCCTCCAGGCGCAGGGCCTCTAAGCCGTCAAAGTCTTCAATCTCCTTAATCACGTCTTTGGCTGCCCAGGGACCAAAAAAATCAGAATCTTAAACTTCTGGAGTCATGAGCCACAGACGCAGGAGCTGAGGCCCAGTGAACACCTCGTCCCTCACGACTCCAAGGCTACAGTGCACCTCCTGGGTGCCAGGCCCCGGCTCACCAAGGGGACTCGGACAGACTCACAGTATAGCAGGGAATGTGGCTACTCGAACAGTTCCTCTGTAGTCGTTGGCAGTTAGTCACTCAGTCGTGTCTGACTCTTTGCATCCCCGTGGACTGTGGCCCACCAGGTTCCTCTGTCCATGGGATTCTCCAGGCAAGAATACTGGAGTGGGTAGCCACTCCCTTCTCCAGGGGATCTTCCTGACACAGGGATCAAACCTGGGTCTCCTGCATTGCAGGCAGATTCTTTACCATCTGAGCTACAATTCCTCTCTAATGAGTGTTAAGCAATGTATGAGAGACTTGGGAACCAGGAAGAGGAGGAACTGGTTGGTGCAGGTGAAGAAGGTGCTCGGGGCACCTTGTGGGTGGTGCGGGGAGAACACTGGCGGGGCAGGGAGGCAGCACACACGCATCGAGGGTGAAGTGACTCAGGCTGGTGCGCGCATTAGCGTGCTGTTACACTGTGATGAAAAATCCCATACACTCTAAATGCCAATCAACAGAGGGCAGGTTAATTCACTGGGGCGCATGATATAAAGAGTTACACTGATGTCACTATGAATGGCCACAGAGGTGTCTACCTGACTTGGAAAATAATCTTACAGTAATAAGTGAAAAATGAGGTTATCCAACGCTGTTTGGTCTGACCACTTTTAGAACATTGTATGAATTCTACTACACACACACACACACACACACACACACACACACACACACACAGAGTTTTAAAAACCAGACGTTAAAGCAGTTATCACCAGGTGGTGGGATTCTGGCTAAATCTGTGTTTTCCCAGCATCTGTTCAATGTACTCTCAATGTGTCTGGTTAGAAAGCAGCTTTTTAAGTATCTGTAATTATGATCCCAATTACTTAAAAAAAAAAGAGGAACTCAACTATATGTTTTGGGAAAAAAACACAAAACTTGAAAAAAAAATGCATCAAAATTAACAGTAGTTACATCCCTGGGCTGTGTTATAATGAAGATAATGTTTTTTTTTTTTTCCCCTTCTTTCAATGCTTCTGTATGCTACAATGAGCATGTATTAATTTTACAATCTGAAAAAATCACACAGGTTACATGAAAGACAAATCTAGTCTGGTTGGCACAGCATGGATCGGGGTAACATGGTGGGGAAGAGATGGAGAGGAGTGTGAGAGAGGAGAGGGGAACACAACCTTCTAGGCTGCAACAACCACAGAAGGGTTGTCAGAAAGTCTGTGATATGCCAGGACTTCCCTGGTGGTCCAGTGATTAAGAAACTCCCAATGCAGGGGGCCTGGGTTCAAACCCTGGTCGGGGAACTAGATCCCACAGGCCGCAAGAAGACCCAGTGCAGCCAAACAAACAAACATTTTTAAAAGAGAAAGTTCATGTCCTGCAGCCTCTAAGTGGCTCCCTGAGAAGCTGTCAGAGCTGGGGGTCTCCCCATGCACCTGTCTTCCTCCTCTTCCCCACCGCCCCCCAACAGCAGCACCTCCTCAGAAACCCTTGCTCCCTCCAACCAGGTCAGTTTTCTTTCGGCCCTGGTGTGCGGCCTGCTGGATCTCCGCTGGGCGGGACTTAAGCCCTAGACCGCCAGGGAGGTCCCTGAACGGCTGCTTGATCATTATACAGAGACTCTGCTAATGCCGGCTTCTTCACTGGCTCACGAGTTTGTGAAGAAAGGGCCGTTCCTTTTCTCACTTTGCCACTGCTCACTGCTGCCACATCTCCTAAGGTCGTCACTGACAGGTCTGGTCTCCAGCTGAGTGACTTGAGGTAAGGAAGTGCCTGCGAAGGTCACACAACTAGACAGTAGTGACTAGCATTCACTTTATGACGAGAAAGGCTGGACAGATACGAGCCTCCCATTTCCTAGGAAGGTACACTGAGGCTTCAAAGAATGAAGCCACTCTGCCCAGAAGTTCAGGGAAAGCGGCAATGCTGAGCTTCAGGCTGGTTTTCCCAAGATGAACGTATGTGCTGCTCCCCAAAGCCTTGCTTCTGTGCACAACCGCGGACTTCACACAGGAGGGCCCCGGCAGAGAAAGCCCCGAGCCCTCTCCCCCCTTTGGAGCTGCAACTCCAGAGCGCCGGGTGTCCAGGCCTCTTCTGCAGCTGGCACTCAGGGCCAGGGCTGGCGGGGCCTCTCAGCCCTCTGGGAGACCTGCTCCAACAGGGCGTCCCCCTAACATCCAGGGAAAGGCCAGCTCACCAGGAGGGAAGATGGCTGCTCACGGGAATGCTTACACCGCCCTTAGAAGCAAGGCGACAGAGATGCCAGGGCCCCGGGGGAAGCTGTCTAAGTGACACAGGTAGACTGGGAAGTACTGAGCTTGCCGCGAGCTTAGCCGGGGAGTCACAGACTGAGCGTGTGAGGAAGGGCACCCAAGTGCGAAGAGCAGGGACGGGAGAGGGTGGGGGCCACAGCCGGGCTGCCTCTCTCGCTTGACCGGCAACCCAAACAGAGTTACTTTACGCAGAACTTAAACACAGGCCAGGGATGGGCCCCAGCTGTCCCTGACTAACCACCAGCCGTCACCAGGCTGTGCGGAAGGGGTTTCCCTTTTCGGCCTCGACTGCCTCACAAAGGAACAAGTCCCAGGGGCTCTGCTACATAATGCAGCAAGGCCTTACTTTGGTCCTTACATGACTCAGTGAGCAGAGAAAAGGACCCAGTTCTCTGTTTTGTTTTCCACTTTTTGGGGCCGAGTTCTAATCAACAGCTTCATGGCCTTCCCTGGACCTCACCTGCTCACCCTCAGCCAAGACAGGCCCTTTCTGGGCTCACAATCAGACCACCAGGCCTCTCGATACAGCACTCAAGGGCCTCAGCTCAAGGCTCCTTCCGGGATTCTGACTTCTTTTCTCTCAAGACCACCCTGTGTGTCCCAGCTCCTGGGCCAACTCACATGGTTCTCCTGCCTGCAGTGCCCACTCTCCTTCAAGTAGCTGCTCATCCTCGGGGATTTTCGGAGCCCTCCCAAGCCTCTCCCTAAGTGGAAAACAAGTGATCCCTTCCCCAACCTTACTTCCCAGAGCTCTTCCATGTCTCTGAGAGCGTGTTTCATCTCTCCTGTTGGCTGTCTGAGGACCTCATTCCTACTCCAGGTCAGGAGCTCCTCAGAGGTTTGGGCTCTAAGCTGCCCACCCTGGTGACCGCCAAGATGGGAGGCGGCACATCCCGCCTGAGCCAATGAAGTGGTTGTGTGCGTGGATTTTAGGAGCAGACAACCCTGAATTTTCTTCCCAGCTCCACTGCTTAGAGCTGGGCCTTAGGAAAGTCCTATCACCTCCCTAGGCCTCAACTTCCCAATCTGCACAATGGGGTGAAACCTACCTCCAGACCTTTTGGGGGGGATAAACTGAGACACTCTTTGTACAGCACTGAAGACTGACTGACACAGTGTTAACAACCAGCATTTAATAACAAATTCACATTTACTGAGCTGGGCTGAATGTACACTGAGACGCACCAGACTAGGGACGCAGATGGACCTCCGATGGAATCCTGGCTCTGCTATTCTGGGCTACACCACCGTGAGTAAGTTACTGAAGACCAGTAAGTTACTGAAGGCTCCCGAGTCCTTTACTCCTCATTTATAAAGTGGCAACATGTTTACCTCCCTTTCCCAGGGATGATGCAAGGATCAAAAGTAATAATGCACAGGGAGGAACTCTAAAGGTTAAGGCCTTCCAGGGACGTTAGGAATGTGCAAGGACTCAAGCGGTCTCTGACCTGGAGGATGGGAGCCAGCCTGCCTGTACACCAGGACAACCAGGCAAGTCCAGACCAGTTTCTCTGGTTGGGCTGGAACCTCAAGAGGCCCCGATGCAGGCGCCTTCACTTCCAGGTGCCCGGGATTCGGGGTGGATCCGTGCCAGCCATGCTCTGGCCATGGAAGCAAAGATAGGGTCTGCATTCTGCTTCTAGTTCTGTCCAGTCCTGATGCCTGTTCAGACAGGCGCATCCATCCCTCCCCTCAGGGGCATTCACTGCGTGTACCAGACTCCCAAGAGGGCCCAGAGTCTCTCTCTCTTTTTTTTGGCCTGCGCTGCACAGCATGTGGGATTTTAGTTCCCTGACCAGGGATTGAACCTATGGCCCCTGCAGTGGAAGTGCAGAGTCTTAACCACTGGACCGCCAGGGAAACCCCTGGACTGTCGTTTTCATGCAGCCTCACTGCTCTTGGGGGTGCAGTGCTCGGAACGTTCCCACTCTTGGGAAGGCAACAACTATTCCCAGACCAGCTCTGGATTGTGGGGTGAATGGGGGGGTGGATCTGAAGTAAGAAAGCAGGGTTGGATCCCGGGACTGCTGCTCACTGTGGTCACTGCCAACCATTCCCCCCAAGAGGTCCTTCCCACCTGCCGGCCTGAGCTGCCATTGGCAGGGATGCCCACCATGTGCTCATGGACAAAACATCGTCAAGCCTCACTGGGCTAGGACAAGTGTGATCATGAAGCTAACCGGGCCTGACAAGTGGGACGAGGAGGTGCTCTCTCGCTTGCTCCCTGTCCCTCCGGGGCCAGTCCACACGAGGACTCACCATCGTCTGCAGTGTTGAGTTTGAGGCTCTTGCCCTTGAAACTCAGCTGTCCCCCGGCCACCTGGGTCTTGGCGAGCGTCTCTGCTAGTTTGGCAATATCTTCAGAGGCCATGGTGGCTGCGTTGGTGGGCTCCCCTGGAAATCTGCAGACTGAGGAGGTCAAAGTGCATTAAGAGAGAGGATCTCTGGGCATCTCCAGGTTGGGGAGGGCCGGGTAGGACCATTTCAGCTGCCTGAGCTCACCTCCCAGGATAAGGAAATCCCAAGCGCTAAACCACTGGGAGAAATAAAAACAACACTGAGGAAGGGAGAGTTCTAAAAAAGGCAAAGGTTTCAACCTCTACAGAGTTACCGTCTCACTACAAGCCCTCTTCTGCCCAACTGCCCCAGCTGGGGTACCAAGCAAAGCCATGTGAGTTGACCACTGGGTCCCTAGGGAATGGCAGTCGAGTTCTAGTCTGACGGCTATGAAGAGTCTCCCCAGAACACACACCTGCCTGATCATGTTGGGCGCTCTCTGTTTGAGGGTCCCATTCCTCAAACAGGACACGGATGGCTATGGGATCCAGGTTATCCATCCCAAAGAATGCCCCACTGCCCTCCCTGGCATGACTCTGGGGGTAGGGCACAGGGGTCAGCCCACTGCACAGCTGGTTTCAACCGTGGCCAGGAGACTGGGCAGCCCACGGCAGCCAGACCTCAGGGGTTCCCAGGAGACCAGAGGTCTCTACATCACAACCACCACCATCACAATAGACTGATGACAGAGTTGCTGAAAAAAAAGGAGATTCTAGTCTGTAGTTCAGCAGACTGGCAGAAAGGACCACTACATTTCCTCAAAGAGGAATGTGTGACAGGAAGAACAAGGTTATTTAGTGTCTCAGACAGTAATAAGAAAAAAAATAAACAGGAAAAGGGGTAAGAAGCATTGCTGTTTTCCCTTTTTCTTGGCGGGGGATGGATTTAATCTAAAATAGAGTGGTGGTGGTTGTTCAGTTGCTTAGTCGTGTCCAACTGTTTGCAACCCCATGGACTGCAGCATGCCAGGGTTCCCTGTCCTTCACTATCTCCTGCAGCTTGCTCAAACTCATGTCCATTGAGTCGGTGATGCCATCCAACCATCTTGTCCTCTGTCGTCCCCTTCTCCTGCCTTCAATATTTCCCAGCATCAGGGTCTTTTCCAAGGAGTCAGTTCTTCACATCAGGTGGCCAAAGTACTGGGGCTTCAGCTTCAGCCCTTCCAATGAATATTCAGGACTGGTTTCCTTTAGGATTGACTGGTTTGATCTCCTCGAAATCCAAGGGGACTCTTAAGAGTCTTAGAGAAGGTGTTATCAAGAAAGAAACAAAGACTTGAAGGATACTGGGGACTGACCCACGCAGATATCTGGGGGAAGAACATTCTCGCAAAGGCTCTTGTGGGGGAAGAGGGGGGGGTCAGAGTAAGTGCAAGGAGGCCAGTGGGGCTGGAACACAGAGAGGGGAGGAGAAAAGAGGTAAGAGATAAAGAAAGAGAATTAACAAGAGGCCCCAGTCACAAAGGCCATTTTAAGAACTGAAGCTTTTACTCTGAATGACAAAGGGAGCCACTGGAGGGTTTCTAGCAGAAGAAGGACTGTGTTGTGACGCATGTTCTGACAGGATCACTCTATCTGCTGCGTGAGGCAGGGAATCTCAAAGCTGCTTCAAGAATGAAGGAGGGGATGAAATTCAGCATGAAATAGCCTGACACCACAACCACCCCACTCCTTGTAATTCTGGTTTGGGACAATTTAAGGCTAGAAAAACGGTGGTGAGGCGTCCAGATGAAATAGGAACACAGAACTTCTCAGCTGGAAGAGAAGTCCAGTATGTACACACACCACCACCCCCCCCCCCATCCTATCCACTATAAAGACTAGGCAACACACACGCCGTTCACTATGAAGTCTAGGTAACTGGACCACAGAGAGGTGAACTGATTAGTCCAAGGTCTGCAAAGGGCCAGCGGCGAAGCAAACACAAACATCTACTCTCCCTTCCGAGCAGGAGTCTGGCACATTTGCCTCCGTGCACATCCACCGCTCCTGCCCAGCGTCGGCAGTGACTCACGCGGGTTCCCGGGGCTGCGGCGGCACCAGCCCAGGTCCTCGGCGGGTGTGGGCCTCTTGGGAGGCGGCGGCGGGAGAGCGACGCGCGAGTTCGAGCCGAGAATGACAGGCGGGACCGCACCGGAGCCCCATCCGGGATCCCAGGCGAACGTGCACCGCCCTCGGATTGACACCGACGCGAACAGGGGACGCCGCTGCCGGCTGGGCGAGCCGGGTGGGCCTGACGCCCTCTCTTAAGCCTCAGTCTCCCCGCTTGGGAAAAGGGACAGCGCCTCTCCTGGCTTCCCAAACTCCCACCCGCTCGGCGGTCGAGGGTACAGGGGATGAAGGCGGAGGGGGGCACGCAGAAAGCGCCACACCTTCCTCGTCCGGTTCCAGGGCCGAGCCACCCCCGCCTGCATCCCCAGGCAGGTGACAAGAAAAGGAAAGGGATTCCCGACCCTACCGTACACAGGCTGCGCCGCCGCGTGGGGCGACCGGAGTGCGCGCGTGCGTCCGGCGGGCGGGGACAGATTTAGGGTCCGGGTCAGGTCAGGTCAGGTCAGGTCGGGGTCGCCGCCTCCGGTCCGGCGCTCCAGATGCTCAGCCCCACCGGGAGACGTCCGTCAGCTTTGCCCAAGCGCTTCTCGCTGCTCGCACCTCCGACACCACCTGCTCCCCGCACGGCGGCAGATGATGGCGGAGGGAGGTGGATTTTGAAAGCCGGCAGTTTCTTTCCTTCGATTTGATTTGTCGGAGGCCCGGTCCGGGTTCCCCTGCCCCCGCGCGCGCGCGGCCTGTCGGGTATAGTGGTCCGCTTATCCTGCGCGGGGCGCGGCTGGACGCCGCAGAGTCGCGCCCGCGAACTACCATTCCCATAATGCTCGCGCGGCGTCCCAGGGCACCTCCGCTAGGTCCCTCTGTGCCCTCCCTTTTGCGGCTTCTGGCTCTTTTCCCCGAGACCGCTGGGCGGTGTTGAGCCGCAAACTTCCAGGGCGACTACAATTCCCTAAATGCCTTGCGGCCGGGCCGGCTCCGCCCTTCCGGAAAGGTTCAAGTTCACGTAACTTTATTGACAAAGGCTGGTGCTGACGGAGACTCGAAGCTGGATCTATTCCGCAAGCTAAGAGGTGTCTATTTCCTAAAGGGAAAACCTCGCTTTTTTTTTTGTCCCATGAAATTGGAAGGACATTCGAGGACTTTCCCCAAAATAGCCACAAATTCCTTGATAATTAAAAGGAGGGAGCGAATAGTAACTCTGTAGCAAAGAAACTCTGCCACACCACCCTTAACCACATTAACGTTCACGTTAACGTCGATAACAAGACGCTGACATTCATCGCACACCTCCCGCAGTGCTGTGCTGAGAAGGACACAGCATCACCATCCAGTCCCCGCAACGCATAAAATTGATCTGATCGTGAGGAACCATCGGACGTACCCAACTAAGGAACACGTTACGGAATAACGTGTCTGTACACTTCCAAAAATGTCTGTCGTGAAAGACAGAAAAGCTGAGGAGCTGTTGCAGATTAAACGTGACTAAAAAGACACGATAATTAAATGCCTACGTGGTCCTGGATTGGATCTTGGGGTACACAGAATTACTATAAAGGGCAATATTGAGACAGAAAAATTTGTATGTTAGATAATAACATTGTAAAAAAAAAAGATAATAGCATCGTTTCCATGTTAAACCTGTTGTTTCTTTTAAATTGTACCTGATTATGTAAGAAACTGCCCTTGTTCTTGGGAAATATGTGCTGAAATAATTGCAGGCATGATGTTTGCAACCTACTCTGGAATGGCGCAAAAAATGTATGCATTCATATGTAGCGAGAGGGAGTGCAAGTATAGCAAAATGTTAACAAGTGAATCTGGGTGAAGGGTCTGTGGGATTTCTTTCAACATTTTTAATACTTTTCTCTAGGTTTGAATTTTTTAAGTGACAGAACACAGTAGCTTTTTTTCTTTTCACAAAGAACTTTTTAACCATTATATAAATAAGGTGTTCATTATAAACTCTTTAACCAACATCTAACAGGATAGTAACAGAAAAGTAAACATTACCCAAGAAACTCTAGTTCCCAGAGATCAGCACTGTCAACACAAGCAGACTTCTTTTCCAAAGTTACCTCTCACAACTCAGCCCACACACCCACTTATGCTTTTGCTTTACCTGCAATTCAGAGTTAAATGTAGTATGTGCCAGATTCTTCCACATACAATAAATTAATCTTTACAACCACAAAGGAAAAGGGCATCATTGCTAGCCTTCCCAGCAGAGGTGAGAAAAGAGAAGCTCCAGACTCTAGTCCGCACTACTAAGTTGTGGATCCTCTCCCTTTCCTCTTCTGCCTGCAAAGCCCATATTAAATGCCACCTCCTCCAAGAGGCTTTCCTTGCCCTGGTGACTCCAACCTGAATGAGTCAGCTCTCTGTGGGCCCCCCAGCAAGCTTCAGACCCCTCACAGCAGTGGGTCTGAGACCTTTTTCACAGAGTTAACATTCTACTTGGCAGCTTCCTCCTTCACCTGAAGAGCCTCCAGAAAGGTACTGTTTCTAGCTGGGCAGCATTCTCTGGGGTCCTGGCCTGTCATAGGTACCTCAGTTCAGTTCAGTTGCTCAGTCGTGTCCAACTCTTTGCGACCCCATGAACCGCAGCACGCCAGGCCTCCCTATCCATCACCAACTCCTGAGGTTTACCCAAACTCATATCCATTAAGTCGGTGATGTAATCCAACCATCTCATCCTCTGTTGTCCCCTTCTCCTCCTGCCCTCAATCTTTCCCAGCATCAGGGTCTTTTCCAATGAGTCAGCTCTTCACATCAGGTGGCCAAAGTATTGGAGTTTCAGCTTCAGCATCAGTCCTTCCAATGAACACCCGGGACTGATGTCCTTTAGGATGGACTGGTTGGATCTCCTTGCAGTCCAAGGGATTTTGAAGAGTCTTCCCCAACACCACAGTTCAAAAGCATCAATTCTTCTGCACTCAGCTTTCTTTATAGTCCAATCTCACATCCATACATGACCACTGGAAAAACCATATCCTTCACTAGATGGACTTTTGTTGACAAAGCAATGTCTCTGCTTTTTAATATGCTGTCTAGGTTGGTCATAACTTTCCTTCCAAGGAGCAAGCGTCTTTTATTTATTTTTTTTTTTTGCAAGCGTCTTTTAGTTTCATGGCTACAATCACCATCTGCAGTGATTTTGGAGCCCAAAAAAATAAAGTCAGCCACCCACCTATTTGCCATGAAGTGATGGGACCGGATGCCATGATCTTAGTCTTCTGAATGTTATTTAAGCCAACTTTTTCACTCTCGTCTTTCACTTTCCTGAGAAGGCAATGGCAACGCACTCCAGTACTCTTGCCTGGAAAATCCCATGGACGGAGGAGCCTGGTAGGCTGCTGTCTATGGGGTCACGAAGAGTGAGACAAGACTGAGCGAATTCACTTTCACTTTTCACTTTCATGCATTGGAGAAGGAAATGGCAACCCACTCCAGTGTTCTTGCCTGGAGAATCCCAGGGGTGGCAGAGCCTGGTGGGCTGCCGTCTATGGGGTCACACAGAGTTGGACACGACTGAAGCAACTTAGCAGCAGTAGCTTTCATTTTCATGAAGAGGCTCTTTAGTTCTTCTTCACTTTCTGCCGTAAGGGTGGTGTCATCTGCATATCTGAGGTTATTGATATTTCTCCCGGCAATCTTGATTCCAGCTTGTGCTTCTTCCAGTCCACAGGTTTCTTCATTTGAACTGGATTTCAGTCAGGGTCATGGGATGTTTCCTTAAAATGAATCATCATCTGAAAAGGCTGAGAAGCTTCCAACTAGGTCTGATGTTATTCCTGAGCTGATTCTGGCTAAGACTGATCAAATCAGTCTGAATTTTCCTTAGGGTGACCCTAATATTCCCTCTTCTAGTTTTACTTTCTGAGACTTTCTTCTGATGGGGACCTCCTGAAGGGAAGAAGGAAGTGGGTGGCAGAACATCTGAGGTAATCTTCTCTTCCTCCTTGTTTGGGTGATGGATCACAGGGTTTTTATAACTGCAAGCTTCTGAGCCCCAGGAAAATAACAGGGTCCCATGGGGCCTGTGGAGAACCAATGGGTAGGTGTTCTGCCTGAAGGTGTTCACATTCAAAGCTAAAAATCACAAATCCAGGCCCTTAGCAACACAGATTCTATTTGTTACTCCTGAATCTAGATTCTATCTCAAACCCCTTTAAAATGGGGAGGCTAAAAAATAAATAAATAAATAAATAAAATGGGGAGGCTACGATTTAAAAGGGAGAAGGGGGCTTGCACACTGAGTCCAAATGTTAGGGGAAGCACACTGACTGAAATCGCCCACCCTGGCCAGGCACCTGAGTAACCATTTGCATGAGTTGTTTTAAGACAGGAGGTCCTGGTAAAGAACACGAAACTAATAGGCCACCGCCAATGGAAAGAGTTCTGGAAAGGTCAAAAGGAGACATCTCCCAGAATCCTTCTCGCTGGCATCCATCTTGGCTGAGTGATGCAATGAGTGTGCCATCAGGAAGGACTCTGAGTCAGAATCATTGGCTAAAGACAACCGAAAACTAATCCCATCGCCATGAAACCCGAGACTTAAAGCCACGTGGCAAAGCAGTTCTCCTGGGTTCCCTTACCCTACTGCTCTCTGCCTGGGTGTCCCTTCCCAATAAAATCTCTTGCTTTGTCAGGGCATGTGTCTCCTTGGACAATTCATTTTTGGGTGTTAAACAAGAGCCCATTCTTGGACCCTGGGAGGGGTCCCCCTTCCTGCAACACAAAGCCCTGAAACATCAGTGTTTCCAAGCAACTCATTTGTCATCTTCTTTCTCTCTCCCCCTCACTTTCTCCAACTCTGTCTTTCAGAGAGACTAGTCTGTTTGCCTGACCCTGAGAAAAGAAATGGGATGGACAGATGGAACCATCTTAGGCCATCGCTCACCTCTTTTCTTCTTCTTTTTTTAATATTTATTTGGCTGCACCGGGTCTTTTTTTTTTTTTTTTTTTAATGTTTTGAAGAGAAAAGCAGACTGCCTCTGATTAGTTTGGTTTACTTGAACTGAATGTTTTAAATTCCATTCTGGTGCCTGAAAACAAACTTAATTGCCAATTTTGAGTGGAATAAATAACAATATTTATTCTGGTTTCTTGAAGAGCTACCAAGGCTGCAGACTTGCCATTTAGTCAGATCAAAAACAAATGCCTGAACTATGTCAGACACGTGAGGAATGCAGCGAGAAAGTCCCAAGAACCGACTGGGTGCTGGCCTTGGGTTCCTCCTGGAGAGAGGCAGGGGGCCTGGTTTACCCACTTTGCTGGAGAGCCTGCCTCCCTCCCCCAGTGGGAGGGGATTGCTACGTTATTTGTTAAGGACAACTCAAACCAGGCTCCCCCTGGTTCAAGCCCAGGGCTCCCTTAATGATTTCTTTTTAACCTCAATAAAAAACGATACTCAACTCATTCACTCCACAAATAGTTATCTACTATGTGCAAGGCATTGTTCCAGAATCCAGTGTTGAGTAAGATGGAAAACACTGTCTGGGGAGGAGCTTAAATTTGGGTCTAATGTGTATAAAGGGTTTCCTGGTATCAAATCCTTTTAGTAGATTATATCCCCTTTTAATAGTTCTTTTGTTTCAAAATGGAAATTATTTCATTTTTAAAATGAAAACTGACAGCAATTT